TTTTTTCTTTGAGAACTTTTACGAAAAGAAACTCTATGATGCTTACCAAACAAATAATAATCACATGAATCGAGAGACATACCTTTGGTCAAGGGAATGAGAGAGTGCCTTGCCAAAACCTGTAACCCTTTTTCACTCATGTGTGCCAGCCTCCTGTGCCACAAGTTTGTTGAAGCATCATTTTCAATGGTATTTACCTGGTTACCGTTCAATTGCATCCGTGTCTTATACATTATGCAGCATAGTTTTTCCCTTGCAACTACCATAGATCCTTTGAGAAACTTTCACTGTCCATTCTTTTGTCGGCTTTCATATCCCTTCTTATCAAGGACATTAATAGCAAGCAAGTCCATTCTCATATCTGAAATGTGTCTGACATCCCTCAAAGTCAACATGTAGCCTGTACTAGTTTGTACAATAATATCACCAATCCCAACAATCTGTGATACACTCTTGTTTTTCATCTTGGTACAACCAAAGTCTCCTGCTTTGTAAGTTGTAAACAACTTTCTCTTAGGAACACAATGATATGCCGCTCCTGTATCAACTATCCACTCAATGCCGGGATCACTAACATGATTACAATCACCATGTGTACAAATCAAAGTAACTGAATCACTATCTGAATTCACTGCTGTAACATTACCATCATTTGAACTCTTGCCTTTCTCATCTTTTCGCTCTTGCTTCAAGATTCTACAGTTTCGTTTTATATGACCCGCCTTACCACAATGGAAACACTTCACTTTACCTCTAGACTTGGATCTATGTTTAGACTTACCACGGCCTTTTGAGTCCTGACCTCTGTCGATGTTTCTACCTCTGTTCTCTGTGACTAGAGCTTGATTCCCAAGGTCTACATCTTTTCGCTTCGCTTCTTCATTAAGCATATTGTCCTTTACCATATCCAATGTTACCTTATAATCAGGAGCTGAATTAAGAACAGTCACAACTAGAGTATTCCAGCTGTCTGGCAATGAACCCAAAAGAAATAATGCCTTCATTTCATCATCCATCTTAAGTTCCATAGTAGTCATCCGATTAAATATATCTTAAAAATCACTCAAGTGCTCTGTAATAGATCGTCCATCCCTGTACTGTAAAGTTACAATCTTTTTAACAAGCATAACTTTATTCATACCTGTTTTTTCTCTCATACAATGCTGCCAATTTTTTCCAAACAATGTGAGCATCTGACTCCTGCGCTACATGATGGAACACGCTGATATCAACCCATTTTTTGATTGTAGCCAACGTCTTTCTACCTAGCTTCTTCCATCTTCCATCTTTCATCTTTCATATCTGCTGGTTTAGCCGAATCACCCAATACTGGCTCATACAAATCTTTGCAGTATAGATGATCCTCCATCATAGGCTTCCAAATTGAATAATTTGATGCTGTCAATTTTATCATGGAACCTGTATCACCCTCCATGATCTCAAACAAAATTTACTTTTATCCTGGGTTGCTTTTGTATCGATGTCTCAAAATAACCCTCGCTCTGATACCACTTGTTGCGTCTGAAGCAATAATCACAACAATACAGAAACAATAGACAACAATAAATAATCAAATGCGCAGAAAAAATAAAGCACACCAAGATTTACATGGAAAACCCTCTAGTGTAGAGGAAAAAACCACGGACCACCAGAAAAATCTTTACTATCAAATAATAGTTATACAAAGTTCTTCTCTAGCTAAAACTAGAGCTAATCAACAACTAAAGAAACAATTGGAGAAATCTCACCAAATAAGTGACTCAACAAATACACCCTGGATTTGTTCCTAGAGAGCTTCAAACCCGATCTTCACCATTCAGAATGTATAACTCTGAATCATAAACCTCCTGACAAGGTTCCAACTCAATCGGACTACAGATCGACTTTCGTTTAACCAACTTTCCCTTCTCCTTTTCTCTCTTTACTTTTTTTGGCTTTTTTTCTTTCTCTGCTTGATTGTCTACACACACCTTAAACAACCCCACCTTTTTTTTATTAAGTAACTAAGGCTCTGTGTAAAATAAAAAATCAAGACCTATGACCTTTACTTGATCCAAAATCACTTATATGGGACTGAACCCATTTTTCTAATAATATGGTGCATGCCACTAGGGAGCAAATAATTTTAAAGTTGCTTGGCCATCATATCATCATCCACTTTAATTATATGGTTTGTTATACAAGTTGAAAGATTCAATGTTGAATACCCAAGCTTCATTGCTCAAGGGAGAAAGAAAGCCAAGAACAAAAGAAGACAAAAAAATCTTGGGGGAGGCAAAACTTGAAGTGTTGGAGTTACATTGCTTAATTATTACTATAAGACGTGTAACGTGTAAGTAACCTAATCATAAGATTCAAAAAGTTTCATTGTTAATTTCTTCGAGTCATAGTGAGCAGTTGGGATTAAAAACGAAAGATGTCACGTCAACATATGGCTTTAAAGACTCCACATCTTGAGCTAAATTTCTCCATCAAAATTTTCGGGTAGTGATCAATGGTTCAATGGGGTGGGGCTTTTGTAGGTTCCTACGATTTGGATGAGAATTTTAGATGACGTTTGTATTTTTTTTTATTAAAACTATCTAATAATAGATGGATAAAATTTAATGAAAAATAAAAAATATGTAAAAATAATTAAAAATATTATTTATAATTTAAATTTAATTAATATTTATCTAACAATAAAAATACATATTTAAAAATTATATCAGAATTTTTAAAATTTTAAAATGTCACATACTTATATATGTAACAGAGTTTTTAATCAATCTATTTGAATATTTTATTTTTATTTTATTAATTTTAATAACAAATTTTTTCAAAAAAATTTCATCTAAACAGATGGAAATGTTGAATTTGAAAAACATTGAAATGAAATGTGATAATATATGGCAATTATATGACATGTCTCAATTATTTTGTTTTTTGTTCTGCATTATTTATAAAGTAATTTTCTTCCACCTATAAGATAAATTCTTCAACTAATTATGATTCTCAGGTTGCTTTACAAACAGGATTTTCTCTTACATCATCGATCCAGACAAAAAATAAAAAAAGTAGTTCTAGATATTGGGATTATTATAATATGAAAAAAGATAGGAAGTAGCATAGTTTTAATAATTAGAAAATGTTGTCAAAATTAATATAAAAATTATCAAAAAATTATATAAAAAATTATTAAAAAAATATCATAAGTTATAAAAACCATGTGATTTATTATAATATATATATATATAAATATAAAACTACCAAAATTATTGCAAAAATTATTAACAATTATCAAAATTATATAAAAATTAACAACTTTACATCAGAAATTAAAAACTATATTAAAAGTTATTAAATTATTACTAAAGTTAACAACATTGTATTAAAGGTTATCAAAACTATATTAAATTTTTTAAATTATTACAAAGATTATCAAAGGGTTAATGTTATAAATGTTATTTAAATTATAATAAAATATTTTAAATGATAACTAAATTTTAAAAATTTATAATGAGATACTTAAATTATAAATCTATTAATTAATATGATATTAACTTTTAATATGGCTAACTTCGAACAGTGACATGTGATAGACAAATAATTCTTTAAATATCACATTAATTAATATATTTATAATTTAAATATCACATTAAAAATTTTTAAAATTTAAGTATCATTTGTGACATTAACCCACAATCATCAAATTTATATAAAAAACCAAAATTACATTAAAAATATCAAAATTATATAAAAAAAATTATCAAAATGATGTAAACGGTTACTTAAATCATGTTAAATATTACCAAAACTTAATGAAAGTTACTCAAATATTATCAAAAGTTATCAAAATTAAATAAAAATTTATTAAAATTATATTAAATTATCAAAATGATATAAAAGATTATTAAAATCGTATCAAAAGTAAATAAAATAATATAAAATATTATCAAAATTATATTAAAATTTATCAAAATTCTTTAGAATTTGCTATTAGAATTTCAACTCCGTGCAATTGGCCATTTAAGTTAAAAAATAATGTTTCTCCTGTTCAACTAATTGAGTTTGAACAAATCCTCGTCATTTGGAGACCATGTGTAAATATGAACCATTCATTTGAAGGTATGGCAGCTGTTATTTTCCATCTTACTATAATATCTATTAAACCATAAATTATATATCTCCATAGCCACCAATTTGGTTACTAACAAAGAAGTAAATGGTTGAAAAAAAAAAGAAGGTAGCATTGGGGCTTTGCATAGCTTTATCTAACTTCAATTCTTCTTCTTAAATGCGTGTTGAACTCTTTCCAATCATAAATGAATTTTTCGGTGCAAAGTGCAAAATTTCTAGCCGAAAGAGGCCGATAGAATTGATATGCTGAAAAATTAGCGCATGCAGGCAGTTTGAATACAGGCTTTAACATTGAAATCTCCATTAACAAAGTGGATCTGAATCATAAAGGAGAGAACATGATCCAAATGTGATCATTTTCAATCAGATTAAAGCCTTTGAAACATCACTTTATTACATCTTGCTTCTTGCATGTGAATTAAAAGCAGATGACAAGCGAAATCTTTTATTTTCAAACCTCCTTCCCTAGCTCCTGCACGTCCTCGATTAGGAACATTTATGTTTGCAACTTGTCAAATTGGCAACCTGTTAAAGCCGTCCTTCAAGCCATAATATTAATTCAACTGTTAAACAGGTTCATAAGGAGTTGTCGCCGAACAAGGAGAATGGTGAATAGATGGGATTAACATTTTAAACCATTTTCAATGTTTTAGTCTTATAAAACATGACCTCTATTATTGCAGCAAATGTGTGTAAAAAAAAAATTGATTTGTTCTAAATTCCTTGATCGAATGATTTAAAAGTTTTTAAAGGAATATATAAATTTTAGTTTCGAATCAAAACAACCAAGATCTGTTCTCCTTTCTCTATCAATTTACCTATTTGTATAAAAAAAAAATTGATTAGAGAAGCATTTAATGTAAGATAATGATAATCTTAATGGAAAGATGGAGTTTGTTTTTTGTACTGAAAAAAATCTCAATGTGGTATTAAAATTGAAGATACATAAGAAAAAAAGATGGGTTCTAACTCCACGATTTTCACGAAAAATAAGCCCATAGACTTCAATCAACTGGGCTTAGTTCATTTACAGGCCCATAAGTGAATGGCCCTGTTATCCCCCCCCCAAACAACACGTGGTATGCAATAATTAGTCCACGTGCCATGATGGTTAATGTGTCTCAACTTTCATGCACTCAAGAGTGACCGTAATACTGTCCCCATTCTCCGATCCCGGGCCGATGGCCTTTGTTTCACTGTAACTATCGAGGCAACTCAATCTCATGCTAGCAATTCTTTTTTTCTTTCGTTCATTTCCAAAATTAGATTAAAAAAATCGTTCAAAAATAAAAGCAAAAATCAAAATTGAAAATGTCTTTTCTCTCTGGACTGCACCTTTACCGGAAAATTCCTTCTTTTTCAATTCAACCAAATTGTTTTTGCTACTCTTTATGCTCTATATTTTTGCATCCGAGCCTCAGAACTCAGTGGTACAGCACCGAAGCTGATTCGGCTACTCAGACTGAGTTCCCTGGCGAGAATGCGTACCATATCTTAGGAGTTGCAGAGACCAGTTCGGTCGCTGAAATCAAAGCATCGTTTCGCAGATTAGCAAAAGAAACTCATCCGGACCTCGCCGAGTCCAAGAACGATTCATCTGCTTCTTCCAACCGTTTTGTCCAAATCCTCGCCGCTTATGAGGTGTTGTTGCTTTTAATTGTCTCTCTAATTCAGTCCGATTATTTTGATACGAACGTGTGTATTTTTTTAACGATTTCAATTACTCGCTGAATTTGAAATTTGATGAAAAGTCATTGAAATTGTTAAATGATAATAAATTTAACATATTCAATTCTATCATATGAAATTTTAGTAAAAATGCCTGAACTATGTACTAATTGTAATTTTTTTCCTTTTAATGCTGGAAATAGAGAACATTTGAATCGTATGCATGATAAATTTGGGTTACATTTAATCTTTATTTTTGTTAAAACAAAACAGTAAAAAATACATTTAAATATAAAAGTAAATAATTCATTTCAAGAATTAAAGAAAAAGTTAAGGTACTGCTGGGAGATGTATATGTAATTATATTTTATTTGATACATTCTACAATTGTATTTTTGGAAATGGAAATGATTCGTATTCCCTTATGGATGCTTTTATAATATAAGGCATTCTGATGTCATGGTGTTTTCAATAATGGATTGCAGATTCTTTCTGATTCTGAGAAAAGGGCATATTATGACAGCTATCTGTTATCTCAAAGAAAGATTGTACAGAAGCATTCTAGAAAGGGTTCGACATTGTACATGTACACATCCCATACAACAATGAATAAGCAGATTGAAGTTGTTGAATGGTTAAAGTGGTATAGATTAGCTGTAAATGATATAGTTTCTCAAAGGAAAGCAGTGGTTGGAACTGGCTATTTTGATGTTCTTGAAGCTGATTTCTATTCAGCCATATGCAAGGCTTATTATGGTCCTGTAATTGAATCCATGGATCTTCTTCCTGATCGGTTTGAAGCTGAGGAAAGGTCTGTGTACGAAAATCCAGAGGTGCTGCACTTGGTTTCAGGGCGCAATCTCTTTGGGATGGTTTGCCTGGTTGAAAGGGTTCCTGAGTTATCTTTCACTGATAATGAAAAGTTGACTTGTTCTATGTCTGCTGCTTCAATCATGTCTCAGTCTACCCAAAATGCTAGAATTTGCATGAATAACAAAAAAGAAAACTATGGTGGAATGCCTCAGATTCAAGTCACTGATATTAAAAACCATGTGTCTGATGCATATAGAGATTTGGAGTTGCATGTATCTGGAAGGGTGGTAGCTGTGGCCAATAGAATCCCTCCTAAAAGCTGTTTTAATGAGATACAAAATGAGGATGTTGAAGACCACATACAAGTTTTTCTTACTTCAGATGATGGTTCCATGCATTTTGGCAAAGGATTGGATCATAAGGTTGGATCCAGAGTTCTGTTGGGAACAATAACTGGACTTGGAACCAGCCCGGAAGAGGGGTCATGTTTTGTTTACAATAGTAGTGGTACAAAAACCCATGTGATAATGAAACTTAGGACATTGCTGGTTTGTAATTATGTTCTCCCTAAATTCTATGCTATTTTGCTTTTATCCTTATTAAGATATAATTTCGACTTTTAGCATATTTAGAATGTTCAATTAACAATCTTTGCCGGTCTGATTTTAAGTTATTTTCATTTTTCTTTTGTATTTTCTTGTGTAATTTTCTTTATAGAAAATGCTGAATATGTTGCAGAATTGATGGATTTGCATGATCAATTACATAGCTATGTGAATTTGTCTTTATTGGTATTCCTTTTGATTTGTTTTTTCAAGGTGAAGCATATGCACTGGTATCGGGTGGGAAAGGAAGTTTCTGTTTGTGAGTGTAGATGCAGTAGAGCTCGATTACCACCTAGCAAGTAAGCTTTTTCATTTCTATTGTAAAATAATATTGACAATTAATGCCTGGTTGTGAGTATTCAAGCATTAGCATTCTCTTTTTGTAGCTACATGCAATTTTTATCATTGAGTAGGTAGGGCTAGTTACAATAATGTTTTTCTCGTTTTAAGATTCGGTAGATTGGATATTTTCATTATTTAACCAAAATCCTGGAGAGTTCACTTATTGAGTTATGCTTTTCTCTTTTATCTAATCTCTTCTATGTCATTTACTTATGTTTTACTGTAGAGTTTAAGATTGTTGATCTGTATAAATCGTGTTCATATTGAGGAATATTATGTGATTCTGCAACATATTTTAACAAATGAGCTCCCGCTCGTATCATCATGCTTCCATGTTCCATGCATAACCATGTTAATCTGTGGTTGACTTATAATGCTAGTCTTCTATTCTTTCTAGAATAGTTTATTTTATATTTGGTGCCGTCAAGGAAGAAGCTTACCAAGAAGGGTGTTTAATTCTAACTTTCAGGTGCAAATAATTTTCCCATTGTGGGTGTAGTAGGGAACTAGGGTTGGGCTGTCACTTTATTTATTTATTTATTTTTGTTTAGTTGGTGACGCTTTATCCCATTAGCTGGTATTTTCAAAATTTTCTAGTTTTGAAGCTTCTATTTCGTAAATTACCAATGCAGTTTCAGGTTTTAAAGATCACTTGTTGATTAGATGTGCAAACTCTAAACTTTGGTTAGACTGTAATACTCTTTGTGACTTGGCAACAGATTTTGGTTGTTTGAACCTCGTTGTGGAATGCATGACATTGGTGGTTGGTACATTGAAACTTTTGGGAAAGATAAGAAAGGCCAGACAGTCCTATCCCAAAGGTTTTGGGATGGCATTGATGCAAATAAACAATTTGATGAGTAAGTCCATTCCATGAACACAGGAAGTATGAGCTGTTATGTGTTTTCTCACTTCCCTTGGGCTTATAAATGAGAAGATGAACGTAACTGGCTGATCTAAACCTTTCCTTGGTAATTAATATTAACTTTGATGGGACTAAAATCTTTTTTATTGATCAGATGAGGCTACAATGTTTTGAATGATCTAAAACCTTCAAAATCCAGCGATGGTTTAATTTGCTTCCAAAATGAATTTTAACCAAAATTTTCCAAATTGAATTTTCAAAGTTGGAGAATAAGGCAGCATTCAACGTGCATCTCTTTATCATTTAATATTTTCAGCTGGTTCTTTTACTACTCTCATCATAAACCAATAGAAATTGACTAAACCTTGATTTTCCATACTCTTAGTTTAATGAAGATGCTCTGTCTCGTGTATTTTTATAAAAAGGTTGGTTGGTTAACATGAGTCTTCATCCCAAATCTTCCTCCTGATCCTAATGGCAAAACAGCCAGAGTTGTTTTGAAATGGAAAATCTATTAACTGCATTCTTTGAATTAAGCTTTGAAAGTATCTTACTTTGTTATTTATACCGTTTCAGGAGACTTCATCCAGCTATGTATTTGCTTGCGCTTGCATATAGGACACTAGATATTGAAGATGCAAAAATAAGGAAGCAAACCATCTGGAACATCGTTGGAGGAAAACTATATAGAATCCTCAGTTTGTGCAAGAAGCTTGTTTAGGATGGATGCCTCTTTGGGCTTATGAAGGCTAGAAATACTTTTTCTCTTAAGAAGGTACAGATATTTCCTTTTTTGGTTCAAGGATTGGCTGTTAGTATACATTATACTTGATTGAAAGGCATCAAACAAAGTCACACTAGCAAATTTCCGCAAGGTAAATCTTGAGATAACTCGGAGGACAATTATTTACAATTGTTGGTGAAAAGAAGCCAGTCAGGGGGTTGCATTTGAATAGTACTTTTGACTTGATGAATAATCAGCTCTGCTTCGTGATGAGTGGATTCCTTTTTAGGGTATAAGAAATAGCTGTCAGTTTTGCATTTGGCAGTTAATTGATCTGGAGCATAGTGAACTATCATGTTGGTAATGGGATCTTCAGAATTTATCATCCTGTTAGCTGCTATTTGTGAAAGTTATCCTTTGGATATATGAAGAAAATGATTTCGTTTTGGGGCCATTGATAAGATTTATTAAGATGAGTAGATGACTCATAGGATATTTTTTAATTAATGTTCATACCTGCTCGCTTTACTTTGTATCATCACTTGAATATGCTATAGGAGCAAAACATCACCTTCTGGACCAGTTGACCTTAAACTTATACTCAGGCATCATCGTGAAGCATTGGAATATGAAATTGCTTGGATTGTCAATTCAAATTCTGAGATCGAGGAGTAATTGCTCATACTCATTGTGTTGCTAGTTTGATCAGATGGTGGTAAGATGAAACTATGGAAAAATTGAAAGTTTATAGAAAAACTTGTCTGTTGAATTATACAAGCACCTTAGGTTTACATACAGCTAACTAGAGGGTAAACTAAAAAATTAAATCATCATAAAACTGAGCCCTATGATTGAAGGATTGTTTATCCTAATTTTTTGTCCTTAATTCTAGGGATATAGATTACAACATACTTAATTCTAGGAATACAGATTACAACTAGCTGTAAGTAAGTATTTTCCCACACTCTCCCTCAAGCTGGTGAATAGGTGTTTTCCGTTACTAGCTTGGAAATAATTTCCTGAAATGTTTTATTGTTGAGATCACATCAACAAGTTGACCTTTGGTTGATACATATGGTGTGCAAATCAACCCACTGTCTAATTTCTCCTTTATGTAATGCCAATCTACTTCAATGTGTTTTGTTCTGTCATGTTGCACAAGATTGTGTGCGATGCTTATTGCAGACTTGTTATCATAGTAGAGTCTCATTGGTCCATCCCACTTGGATAATCTTTAACCATAGTAGTTCACAAATTGCTTAAGCCATTGCTTTAAACTTGGCTTCACCACTTGATCTTGCCACCATATTATTTTTTTTTACTCTTCCAAGTCATAAGATTATCACCTAAGAAAGTACAGTATCCTGAGGTGGATCTTCTATCAGTTATCGAACTTGCATAATTGGCATCTGTATATGCCTCTGGTACCAGCCCTGAATTTCTTTTGAACAAGATACCTTTCCCAGTATTGGCCTTCAAATAGTGTAGTACACGGTAGGTAGTCTGTAGGTGCATTTCTTTAGGACTATGCATAAATTGACTTATCACACTCACAGCATATGCTATATCAGGTCTAGTGTGTGAGAGATAAGTGAGTTTTTCAACTAGTCTTTGGTACATCTCTTTATCTACAGTCGCATTTTCATTAGCTTTTTTAAGTTTATGACTAGGATCTATAGGGGTATTAACAGGTTTATGTGCAAGCTTTCCAGTTTCCTTCAAAAGATCCATCACATATTTATGTTGTAAAATGAAAATACCATGCTGTGAGTGAGCTACTTCAATTCCTAGGAAGTACTTTGGTTTCCTTAGCTCTTTTATCTCAAATTCTCTGGCTAAACATTGTTTTAGAGATTCTCTTTTTCATCATCTCCGGTTACAATTGTATCATCAACATACGCTAGCAGAACTCTAAGTCTCCCTAAATCCTAGTGATTGATAAACAATGTGTGATCCCCTTGACTCTGCTTATATCCCATTGCTAGCATAACTTTGGCAAATCTCTCGAGCCAAGCCTTAGGAGATTGTTTAAGACTGTATAAAGTCTTTTTCAGCTTGCATACTTTGTTTGCTTCTAGATGACCTCAAAATCCTGGTGGAAGCTTCATATATTTCTTCTTCTGAATTATCATGTAGAAAAACATTCTTTACATAAAATTGTTGAAGTTGCCAATTTTAATTTGCATCCAAGGATAACAAAATCCTAATTGAATTCGTCTTGGTAACTAGAGCAAATGTTTCCTGATAATCCACTCCATAAGTTTAAGCATAGCCCTTAGCCACCAACTTGGACTTATACCTTTCAACAGTATCATTCACCTTGTATTTTATAGTGAAAACCCATTTATACCAAACTGGATTTTTTCCTTTAGGCAACTTTACGAATTCCCATGTCTTATTTTTCTCTAAGGCCTCCATTTATATTTCCATGGCCTGCCTCCATTTCTCACTAGATAATGCTTTGGATAATGTAATTAGAATAGATATAGGGCTTAGGCCCATAAGGAAATTTTTGTGAGATGGTGAGAATTTTTCAAATGACACAAAATTAAAGATTGGGTATAATGGATGTTTAGTACATTCTCTGGTTTCTTTTCTAATAGCAATAGGTAGATCATAATCACTAGTTTTAATTTTAGGAGATTTATGCTCATTTTGAGAAATAGAATCAGAGATTGCAGTTACCTCATTTCCAAAGTTAAGATCAGGTTTTTGGACTGCTCCAGTTTAGGAGCTGGAACTTTTCTTCTTGAGTACACTTACAATTCCTTCATAGAATCAAGAACAATATTATTCTTAGTCACAGTTTCTATGTTTAGAATGGATTTAGACTTAGATTCAGTGTTTGACTTGGATTCTAAAGAAACAGATTTAGACTTAGAAGAATTAATGGATGAAGCCTTTATCCTTATCTTCCATGAATGAAGTCTCCTTTGAAGATAAGGTTGAGAAGTGACATCTATAGATGTATAGAATTTTTTTGTAGGAGGATGATGGCATTTTATGCTCTTTTTGAGTTGATGAATACCCCGCAAAAATACACTTAACTGCTTTTGGATCCAACTTCCCCCTTTCATGATTGTGAACATGAACAAATGATGTATAACCAAATATCCTAGGTGTGAGGTTGTTTATGGTATTAAAGTTGGGATAGAATTGTGAAAATAGTTCCATAAGAGTTTTAAATCCCAAAACCCTTGAAGTTAACCTAATTATAATGTGTGGCAATGAGAACAACTTCCCCTCAGTAAGATTTGGGTATGTCGGCTTGAAAAAGTAAAGCTTGAGTTGTGGCTAGTAAATAGTTATTTTTTCTCTCTACTACTCCATTCTACTGTGGAGTATTAACACAAGATGACTCATAGATAATCTCTTCTTTTTGGAAATAGGTAGATAAACTTTGGTTGAAATAGTCTATTGCATTATCATACCCAAATCACTTGATTTTCACTCCAAGTTGATTTTGGATCATGTTTTGGAAGCTTAAAAACACACTATTCACATCTGACTTGGATTTAAGTAAAAAATTTTAAAAGATCTTGGTACAATCCTCTATGAATGAAACAACCCACTTTGGACTAGAAATATTAGGAATTGTAGAGGGACCCAAAATGTCACTATGAATCACGTAAAAAGGAGTGGAACTTTTATTACTAATTGGAAAAGACAAATGTCTATGCTTTACAAGTTTACAAACATCACAATAAAAATTTTTGACATTTAATCATTTGAACAAAAAAGCAAACATGTTTTTCAAAGTTCCAAAAGAAGGATATCCAAGACGAAAATGATAAAGCCAGGTTTTGTCTTTATTGGGAGATTTTTCAGAAAGAAATGACAAAGTTAAACTATGTTTGATATTATTTACATTGTTTGATATCTCAAGATAGTATAGTCTATCCTTCTCCTTAGCAATTCCAATCCTCTTCTCCGAGCCATGGTCCTGAAATACACAGTAGGAAGGATAAAAAGTCATATTGCAATTCATGTCTCTAGTAAGTTTTTGTATAGATATCAGATTAGTGGATAATCTAGGAACATGAAGAACATTTTTTAGAACAAATGAGGGATTAATTTGTACATCTCCTAATCTTGCCACTGTAGTAAGTGAACCATCTGCAATAATAATTTTTTTATTACGAGGACATAGGGTATATGTACTAAACTTATGTGAAGAATGTGTTATGTGGTTTGTGGCTCTTGAGTCAATGACCCAAGAACTCGTAATAGACTTCCCCAAAACATTTTATCCATGAGAACTAAAGACTTTACCTAAACTAAAGACCTCACCTAAGTGTGCCAAGGAACATACATGAGTAGGCTTTTCAAGGCCTCCCAATAGGCTTTTCAGTTTTTCGATCTCTTCTTTATCCAACTTTCCTTGTTCTCGAGACTTCTCGTAGTTTGACTTCATTGCAGTCATGTGACCTTGCCTTTGATTTCTTGGCTGTCCTCCTTTATAACCCCTTTCTTTGCTTGAAGTTGAAGGTTTTCCATTTAGTTTCCAACAACGATCTCTGATATGCCTTGGCTTTTTGTAGTAGGTGCACCAAAGGTGTATAATTTCCCAAAATAAGCTACCAATGTAGAGATAGCTCGGTGCATTTTGCTTAGCCATTAAATTTCTTTCTCTTATATGCAGTGTAATTATGAATAGACATGCTATAGATTATGATATTTGGATTTTGCTTCTTTCTTGTTTCTTTAGACTTATTTAATGGCTTGAAATAATTGGATAAAATTTTGGCATTTACCGCTTCTATACGTACAATGTTCAAAGCAAACTGACCATATAAAATTCAAAGTGATCAAGGCCTGTATTCCATTTCCCTTCTTCCCCCACTCAAACCCAATATACAATCAAACTACTTGAGTAGATCTTCCCATTTGCAGTACTGCCCTCCTGCTAATGCACGATAAAATCTATCCCTGCAGTAGACTGGTCTTCCATCAGCAGCCTCTGCAGCAGCTGCTGCTAGATCATCATCGGCCATAACCTCCACTGGTAGTTGAAGCAACTCTTCTTTTCTACAATATACATGGAAATGCTGTTGTAAGAACAAAAGAAAAGCAAGTGTAATTTGAGAATTTAAATATCCTTTGATCTTCATATGCCCATGTACCTTATATTGAGCTTTGTGTTGGTTTTTGAAGCAAGAACATTCGATGGGGTCTCCTTTGTGGCAAAGGCTGTTTTAAAGAAATCCTCTACTGGTGTGGCAAAGATAAATAAAAATACTGCTGTAACAAGTAAGGCCCCTGTTCCAACTAGTGTCTGTTTCAACAACTTGATAACTGGTTTAACCTGGACACAAAATTTTTTAATGTGAAGCTTGCTTGCATTTTTGCTAAGCAAATAAATTATACTTAGAGCTCCACAGAATATGGAGGGAAAAAGCAGGTTGTTTATTCTGCTAGATATCTGCGATTGATAGCTTCAGATGTGACGCATACCATCATTTCTTGTATAAAGGTATTTCACTCTCCCCCTCCTTCCGTCCCTCTCTTTTGTGCATTTGTGGTTGCTTGTAATCATGTTTTCACTGAAATATTTAAAGCTAGAAGCCTATTACATCTGTTTTCAATTCACAATAACATATGTTTTTGTGACCATTTATGTGTCATGACTAGTAGTTGGTTTAGGATGCAATCTTCTCAGCGGACATACATATAGCATAACTCTTTCTACATGCTATATACTACAACTGAATAAGTTGTTTGCATATGTTAGTACCTTATAAGAGCCCAGCAATCTGTCACGAGCCAGGACCTGCAAAGGGAAAAAGAACTAAAGATATCAATGTAGTGCATGAAATGATATCTGCCAAAGTTTTTGATGGTGCATCTTGAAGAGCACGATAAAGAGTATTTCACTCTTGTTGTTCTAATTCAATTAATTTCAATAAGCAACTCTAATTTGCTGTGATTGAAACTTGAGTTTCTCAAAAGTTTCACATACCCCTAAGCAGAGCGTTTAGGCTTTTTAGTATTTGGACTTTGATTTCTGTTTCAAACTAGACGATTCAATGAGCCACTTTGCAGTGCACCATCTGGGAATTGTTGGCTGCCCTTAAAAATTGATTTAATCTTAGCAAAGTGTTACCATGGCCAAAGTATAGGTAACACCCTGTGGTATATCTGTCTGCATATTATACATCAAAGCTTTTGGCTTATCATCTTATGAAATATTATCTTTTGGACTTGGAATGCCAGATCCTGTGGAATATCTAATTTTACAGGTCTCTATCATCAGATACTTAGGTAGTTAACAGCATAATTTTCAACTGCCATGGCACCATGTTTCACATCTGATTGTTTGATCAATATGACTAGAGATATCATCTCATCCCTTGTTTCAAAGTTTTGATTGCCTTTCTTGAGGATTTCATGAGACTTTATATCGCACAATGCCACTCAGAGATGCCACTGAATACTTTCATGCACATCTCACATACTAGCACAAACTGGCTAGAAATTGTGTGTCAAAGATCTCCAGTAAACACAGTTGTAGCCTAATTTCAACTGTAAAAGATAAAAAGTTCGAAGGTTGTATGGTGTAATAAGTCAAAATAAAAACTACCAGTTAAAGATCAGGCTTTAGGTCGCCATAAATACTACCAATGCACGACCAAAACTTCGGTTTCATTCTTTTAGTGGTCCATCTCACTTGATTTCCAATTTTGAATGCTCAATATTGAATAATTATTCTTGCTTTAGAAACTTATAGCAGCATGTGGCCAAAAAAAAAAAAGAAATAAAAGAAAAGAAACTTAGAGCAGCTCTTAAGAACAATTTCATGCTTGTCCTTTATCGTTCCTTTGCTCCTCTCCTGACAAGAAAGAAAGAATGAAACACAATATGTGCTAACCTCAGGTGGTTTTACCCACATTTGACCATCATACCATCCGGTTTCTTCATATGGTATTACTGCTGATAGAAGTCTATCTCCAACATAACTCCATCCCTGGAACATGCTGACTGTTAATGTTGTACAGTTCCAAGGAAACTGATGCTTGAAGCATTGGGGTTATGGTTAAATTAACAATGAATATGGTTGCTACCAAGGACATGCTGTATCTTAAAGAAACATGAGGGGAAAGTGAGAAAATTAATTCTTTTCTTGTTTCGCTTCTGAGAAATTTGTGGTGCTGAGCTTGTGCAAGTATCTACGATATGACATTTTTAGTTAAATTACTGAATGAATATTCTGAATTTATCCTATCAAATGAATTCAATTGCATCATGCTTTTGTTGTTACAGCTATTGACATATTTTATGTTTTGATTCCATGTCATAATAAGCTATAGTCTCTTCTCCTATCAATAGGATAACTCTTTCACAAATCGCGCATGATCATGCATCTTTGCCTATATTAGCCTTCATTAAAGAATGTCATCATCTGTTCTTTCTTGACAACTAATAGAACAAAAAAGAATTCCAACATTTTTCACTTTCCTTATTATAGTTATTCTTGGAATAGTTGTTATCTTAAACAGAGTAAAGAATCCTACATTTGCATGGCACACTCAATTATATCCACAAAATGATTTGCAAATGGCCATGACATAAACATCCTTATGCACCACAGCAACAAAATAATTAAACTTGAAGAAAAAAAATCATACCAGATAAATTCTTAATACAATTAGTGATACAAGGAATAGAGTTCCTGTTCCCGCAGCAAGCACAAATCTTACAGGTTCCTGCGAGGTTTGAATTAGAATGTTAAGGGGCAAACCTTTTTCAGGGATTGAAAATATTTTGCTTGTCATAAACTCAGTATTCTCTTGATTGCTTGAGTGGTTAGTTGCTTCTAGTAATCTGTGAATGAATTTTCAAATTTATGCGTTGAGATCATGGCCCTTTGGCCTAGTGCTCATGTATTTATTTGTTAAGAGGTGGGGGGTAACAGGTCCGAGGTTCAAATCCTTTATCACTTTGGGATCCCATCATAGAAGTAATAGAACCTTATAAATAAATAAACAAACAAAAAAAAATCTTTAGCTGTAGTTTTTAATTATAATGTAGCATCAAGTCTTTTAGATGTAAAGTTGTAGTTATTGAGACATTATTTATGTAAATGGTGATGCAGTGGTCTTAGGCTATATTGATTATTCTTTTTACTATGTAGTTAATATGTCATAGTGTTGTTTTTGACTTACCCTTGAAGGATTAAAGCTTGCAGCTGCTATTGGGACTCCAAGAACAGTGAAAGTTACTAGCCAGAGCCCTCCTAGACGAAGGAAAAATTGCCCTGGTCCCAGTTCGCCCCATGAATAAAGAGGTCCATCTTTCAGGGATGAGTACTCGTTCACCTATTTCAGGAACAGATGATTGTAAGTATGAATAAGAAATGCGTCAATTATCATATTGTCTACAAGACATGTTACATCCGAATCAGAATCCATGTCTGCCTGGCAAATCACATACTTTTTCATGCTTTCCATTATTCTTTTCTCCTATGCTAATGCCTGGTTGGACTTTCAGAATTCAATAATGATTATGTGTTGTCTGCTGAGCTATGATAACAAAAATCTCTCCCTCTTTCCTTCTTTTTCACTCTTAGATGCATAATTCAACAACGCTTTCTAATCTGCAGGCATCAATAATGTAATTGTGTTTTTACTCTCGGTGAACATCATATGCAGAAAGTTTTGGAGCGAACATACCGGCCTTTGTTCAAAAGGGACCTCACTTTCCAAGCCAGGTTCCCAGCTCCGGCCTGGGAAGCCGCCACTCGTACCGCCATCCATCTCATCTTTTAACGCCCTGACAGAAATCCCCCGAATCAGCTTCTGTTCTTTATGATACTTAGCTAAGCATGAACCATAGCTGATCCCAAGCTTGACATATCTTGGACTAGGAAGATTTAGAGAGCAATAAACATTTAATCTGAGCATCTATTTTGTGAAGTAAGTTGATGTAGCCGACTACTCTGTTCAGTATGTTTTACGAACAGGGGGGAAGAGAAGGAAGAAGTGGCAGTTGAGTTCACTTGTTAAAAGGGCATGGTCTAGATTTCATTTGGGTTACGTGGAGCAGAAACAACGATACAAAAACTTTTGTCTTCTTTCCTTGATGCTTCTTAACAATGGGACCTGTCTTCAATTACGTGGATAAAACCGATAATCACCAATAAAATAACTGCCAATGTTTTTCTGGTTGGAGAAGAAGGAGAGTTGGGAAGCATAGCTTAATGCCATTTTTTGTGTATTCCACGTGTTTCCATGAGCGGGAGTAAGCTTGTGAGAGCGATAGATCGGGAATTGACCCCTTTCGAGAAAAAAAAAGTTTAATAGTAATATGATTAATATGATATTGGAATTTAAAAATTTTTTAATATAATATTTTAATTATAAATTTGTTAATTAATATAATATTTTAAAATAATATTATTAAGTTTCAATAATGATATATCATTAACAAAAATATTTTAAATATTATATTAATTAACATATTTATAATTTAAATATCATATATTAAAATTTTTTAAAATTTAAATATAATATTAAATATTTTATTATAATTTAAACATCATTGTTTATAGTATCCCAAAATTAAATTTGAGTTTTATTCTGCCCAAATTTAGCTCCGGGTTTATAGCTCATTACCAATAGTACAAAAAAATTAATAATAACAAAGATACAGATGGGTAAATAAGAGAGCGCAATTTCTTTAATTCATAAGAAAAAAAAAAAAATCAACCAATCGAATGGATCTCCTGTGATCAAGGCATGACAATCAATTAGGATCGACTCCAATGCCTTGAATGTTGATTTACATACACAGCAAATCAAAGAATGGCCTTCTCATTTTCATTTCTACGAAAAGAATCTGTCAGCAATAAGCCAATGACACGAGCTTCTTCCTAATCTAAAAAAACAGATAAAACCCTGCAAAAGGATAATACAACTCAGTTTCAATCAAAGATATGATTCTCAATTAATCTTTCACGCCCGTGGCTTTTGCAACTCTTATGAATATAAACTCCTAAAATGAAAAATCTCAACCTTCTTAACACTCAGAGGCCCACTGCCGCATTAACCGACCTTTAAACTGCAACTTCACATTAGTGGATATCTCAGCGTCAGTCCTCCTATCATCTCCCAGCTGAACTCGTAGAGCAGAACAAAATTGCTTGTAAGACATGTTCACTTGTATTGGACAAAACTTGCAAGGGAATTCGTCGGCCAATTGTTACTTGTAGTCTATCAGTAGACATCTGGGAGATTATCGCTATAACTTAGTTGTTCTGTTTAATACTGCACTTTGATCAGTGAGAGAACAGACTCCAGGAAACCATCAACGCTAGCAAAAATGGGAAATGAAACAATCATAATTTGTGCCAGTTTTGATATGGTTGCTTTCCCCACCGCTTCAAAACATACATGCAACCAGCTGCCATGAATAATCCAACCGCAGCAAATGCTATCATTGTTGCATTCTCAATGGTAATATAATAGCCTCTCTGCAACATTAAGAAGCTAGCCAGTAAGTTCATCACAGAAATGTAGTATTATATTATCATACTCCAAATTCTCTTACAGAATTCATTGAGGAGATGCGCAAGTTCATTTTACCTACCCTCAAGTGCTCTGGACTATGGATAAACACAGACACCAAGGAAAACACAATTGCTGAACTCATGGTCAGCATTTTCATTCAAATTAACATTGGTTAGCCCTAAGTCATAATTCTTAACAAATTTAAAACAGCGGCAGATGAAAGAAGGTTGAAGAGGTGTATCCTGTTTCATACACCATTTCCCCTCTTTCCCAAAAAACAAATCATACAAGTATGCCAATGCGCATGGATGCACAAATTGCATCAGGGACGTACCTGCATCAGAATAAACAAAATTGCTGCATTTGCAGGAGCTAGAGAAAGGCTTATCATTCCTCCACGCAACTCGGTTGGCACATACCTAAATAAACATAATTAAAGCAGAGTATTTGAAAACTAAATTTCTACAAATAAGAGGCATTAAGTAAGAAAAAAGGATTTTTAAAACTCGATAAAAGAAATATGTTCAACGTACATAGTCCTCAATCTTGCAAGTGAAGGTAGAATTAGGCCAATGCAGGCATGGAATAAAGAAAACTGTGTCACCAGAACTCCAATTTCCTGCAATCCAGACCATGTAAACTGAGGCCATGGCTGGAATAAGAACAAGAGGCCCTAATTTATATATTTACAAATAATGTACAGAGAGACAACTTAGACATACCTGGTAATCATAAGCTATTATAGACAGAAGAAGAGCCTGTATGGTAAATGCATACATTAAGCAATCCTCAGTCCGAAGAGAAGCATTAATAAGCCATGGAAACAGTGTGCTTCCTAACATCCTTGCCCCCAGCACACATGGATATATCAACCCTAGATACACTTCTCGGCCATCAGCCTAAATCACATTAAAAATTATCTTAATTGGTGCACAAGAAATAAAGCTTCCAAGATGATAATTTGGAAACTTAAAGGGATAAACTAAAAAAATTGAGAACTAATTAAACATTCTTCTCAACAACCGATATGATCTTACCACCAGTGTTGGGGCCCAAAGAATCCAGAAAACTGCAATGGAGAAATGAAGGCAAGTTTGTGCGCATGCCAGTAGCCATATCCTTCTATCTGCAGAACGCAAGCAGTTTAGCCACTCATAACATTTTCTTTTTTGGTAAGAGAAAACCACTATGAGTCATAGGTAGGATCTTCAGCAAACCCAATCATGCAAACATGTAGCAGTCAAATCAGCCATCACAAGTAAAAGGAACTTAAAGGAAAGTGAATTTCAAGAAAACATCTTAAATGATTTCATGTATTTGATCATGTGACACACATCTATTACTTAGTAACTATGTTTACTTTCAAATCAAGCTAATTTGAGAGCACTACTAAAATTTTCATTTTGACATATTCTATCCCTACAAGTTCGCTTCTATTAATAAGAGAACTAATGATACTACAAAATTCTTACCACCAAGAATATATGTATAAAAGGACACCTTATAATCTTTATACATCACTGTCTGTGGAGTCCCATCATAATCTCTGGACATACAGATGATGCCTACTATCGCTAGTAAGATGGCTGCAGTGGAAGGAGATGCAATCCCATTCTCCAAATTACTACCCACCATCCAATTGCCAATCACCTGACTTCCAATCAAAGATGCAGACTCGAAAAAAGTCATCAGCCAAAATGTGTCATTCAAAACATCTTGCCTATGACCCTGCTGCAAGAAGAAAAAAAAAAAATCAAAATCATCATGTTCAAACTTGTCATTTCTACGTAGCAACCCAACAAACGTGTGGAGAAAGAGATGAAAGTATCTTTGCACCAACCTTGTCATGTTCAACAACAGCCCATGTCTCGAAACTGAAGGAAAATATTGATGTTGCCAAAGACAAACATACATTGGCTAACCAAAAGCTAGGACTTGATGTAATCCTCTTCCATATTCCAACAATAACGTGCAAAATATAAAACACCAAACATATTTTCTTTCGACCTCTACATTGATAACCAAAAATACAAAAATAATAAAAAAATAAAAAATTTCAGAATTTATAACACCCATTAATCCATAAATAACATTGGTCAATTCATTACAAAAAGGCATTAAAGTGATTAAATAAAAAACATGGAAAGGTTTAGTTTTACTCACATTAAATCAGAGAGAAAGCCTAAGAAACCACCAACAAAAAGAGTAGCTCCAAATCCAATAAGCATAAACGTCACCATTTCTTCCTTGGTTAGTCCATAATAAAACAGCTCAAACTCTCCGTACACCGACCATAATCCTTCCAACACTGCGAAACGACGACGTAGAGATAAGATCAACATTCAAATTTCGTTTTTTTTTCCTTCTAATTTAGAAACAAAAACGCAATTAAAAAACAACGTTTTTTTTTTTATAATGTACCTGAGGCGAGGGAATAGAGAAGGAGAAAGTAACGTTGGAAGCGAAGAGGAGAGGAGGAGGTGGAGTGGTCGGAGAAAGGAGGAGACCTTATAGGGGCGTGTTTGGAGAGGTAGAAAGGGGAGAGAGAAAGTGAGAGGAAACAAGAAAGGAAAATGAAGATGTAGACGGAGGAACTTGGTTCCCAAACGGAGGTTTCGATTACTACCCCCATTTCGATCTCAGACGGAAAACCCTAGATCGGATCGGCAATTAGAGAGATTGACAGTAACGGTTAAGCATTTTGGACAATTCAAAACTAAGAAAAGGTGTAAGAAAGGAAGTTCGTTTCATGAGTTTCAGTGCGTACCGTTTTACTGTTCCATCAAAGGGGACTTCTAAACGGTGCGTTTCTATTTAAATAAGAACTTTTATGAACCAAAAAAAAGCAAAGATTGTTTGCATTGCGACACAAACAAAAGTAAAATTTCTTTGCAAACACGAATATTTTTATATAATTTTTAAAAAAATATTAAGAACATTAATATTATCAATAGGTAAAATACAGTTTCATTTTTTCTCATATATATTCATTTACTTTTTATAAAAAAAATACAAAAATAATAATAATGAAATTTGAATTTTAAATATGTTAATATTTTTGTTACTTTAGGCATTCTTAATTGGTAAGTACTATAATTTTTCTTATTTATTTTTATTTTATAATTGTAAATTTTTATTTATGCATTAAAAATAGCAACCAACCAAAATTTTAAGTTCATGTTGCAAAAAAAAAAAAAAAAAAAAAAAAGGAAAAAGTCCATGTTATTGTATGTGAAAATTATAATGTATGTAAATGTTACAATAAATCTTCTGCTGAGAGAGTGGGATTCAAATTCCTTTTATAAGGAAAAACATACAGATCAGAAATATGAGAACATCCATTCAACATGTAGTAACATGTTACCTAATGTTTTAAGAAATATCAATGCCATCACATACATTCTTTTTAAGGATAAAATAGAATCAGATACATGGTAACATCAAGAAGCATGGAAAAGCTTTACAATCCCAACTCAAACAAAACTCACAAAGCTGAAAGCTGTACAAATGCAATGCTGCATTGTTCTTCTCTTTCTGTTCAGAGGAAACTAATGAAGGACAAATATCTGCCCTAGGTGATACTATAAATTAAATGGCTGAGGTGTGTTATTTGACAGACTAATAAATTGTTAGCTCTTCATTAACATTGTAATATATACTCAGGATATAACTAAGCAGAAGCTCCTAATAATCTTGAAGCAAACTTCTTATCCATGGTTGTTTGAAGCTGTCAGAATTTTGAAATGAGAAAGAGCTGGTTGACGAAGAGCAAACTGGCACAGGAAATTATGCTCCTTTTGCTTGTCCTGAATTTATGAACACAAGTTGAGTTTTAGAGGACTTTGATATCGAATGCAGCTCAAATCCAATACCAGTAGTTCATGGAAGTATATACTAATCTTCTGTATGTTAGATCCTATGGAAAAGAAATTCTGAAGTTGTATTAATATAACGGTTGCATGACCAGGAAGTATTGACAGTCATTTGGTTTCCCTAAAATTTTCAAATTTGACACATTTTGCTACCATATATCGTAGAGTTTTACAGTGTCAACAAGTTTAAAGCCACCACTGTCTATATGTGTCAGATTATGGTCTGAGAATTGGATTTATCAAGGGTACATATTCATAAATTGACACAGAAGATGTGTGTGTTGTGATCCACCTATTCAGTTGTAACTTGTGAGTTAGGGGTGATTTAGCTTAATGATTTGCCCAAAACGGCTTCACGGTGGACCAGCAATCCACAATTTCAAGTAGGTATCTACTTTTTTAGCACATTTATGGAAATAATGATGACATTAGTTTTATCTATAATTTGCCAAAATGAAAGTATATCAACGTGCAGAAAAATTCACTGAAATTACCTCTGCACCTTTAGTGTGCCAGACTACAAGGAAATTGAAACTATGAACATACAAACTGAAACAGCAAGATTCAGTACCTTATTCAAAGGAGTGCTGTCCTGTCAACTTCAAATGTGTGCCTGGAGAAGTTGTTATCAGTGGCGAAGTTAAGCCAAGCAATAAAAGGGAATTTGAGAATTCTTGTCCTTAGTCAATCTTAGATGAAAGTGCTTGTACCATTACCTGTAATCCACAGATATTGGTTGAATTTCTGTCATTGTTTTAACATCCAAAGGCAACTTCCAAGATGCTTTGACATCCGCAGAATACTGTTTACTATCCCCCTACAACATCAAAACAATTAAGGAACATGAAAATGGTGAACCCTGGATTATCCCTTGATGTAAATTCACTTAAGGGACCAGCAAACTGCAGGATTTGAAAGCAAGCTTTACACAAATATCATCTTGCGTCCACCCAGGGATGCTTCTTGAAACAAGGGAGATATACTGCTCCATAGCTGCTTCTGGACTCATGTTCCCAAGGCTTTTCCAGGCATTCCTAGTATGATAAATATCAGTTTCTTCAATCAGTCAAATTGAACAGTTGAAATCCTACAGTTATGATGAGCAATCATCAAATTCAGATGGAAGATTATCAAGATGCAACAAACGAAAGGATCTAAATCTGCTATGATAAATTGAATCAACAAAGCGATTAGGAATTACTTTAACTGTTTCAATCTCTATCAGTCCACATTCATTTCTCTTATTCTTTTCACTCATTTTCTTTATCAATATGCTTTTCCCTACTTGTTCATATGCTTTTATTCTCTACTTTCAGTCTTCATCAAGTCAATTCTATTCATTATTCTTTATGCATTTCTATACATGAAGTTTTTAATCAGCCAGAAAACACATTCTCCATGTGGATTACATTCCATTGTCCATGATATTAGATCTCTAGTTAGGCAATACTCAGAAGCCAGAATTTCAATGTACTTGTGGATTTAAGTTAAGACAATTCTATCAACCTTATAAAAGCAAACAGCTTAGGTAGTTAAATTTAATCCTCATTCTCGAGATTATAATTAAAACTCAAAGGCAAACACCTAAAAGGTTTTCTTTCTCAGATTCAATTGAAAAGGCACAAATAAGACGTACAAAATTAAAAACCCCAAATTCAGAGGAGAACTTTTACCATTTTGCATGAGCAGACAACTTCAATGCCATAGGCTGAGGCTCATGGCAAGGGCCTTCAGTGGCAATCTTGTGAAGTCCATATAATTGCATCTTTAAATCATTGCCAAGTTTCAAAGTTTGATCAGCATTACTTCTACACTCCAGAAAACACACTGCAGCACCAAAATTTTTCTCCAATTCAGTTATTTCAATTCCCTCCCAATCATCCTCATCGAATAATCCATCCTTTAAACAATCTCCTTCATTCTCTTTTTCACATTCCAAAACCTCAATCTCTTCTTCATCCTCTTTAGCTAATTCTATCTCAGTGGTTTCATTAACAAAACTCTCTTCACCAGAACTAATTTCTTCAATAGTTTCCTCTGTTGTTATCGTTGATCCATAACTACCATTTAAAGCCTCCCCAAGGGTATCCTTCTCTTCCACAGGTTCACCTAAAGCATCAACTTTTGCAACTTCTGAAACAAACCCAAGTTCCTTTTCACATTCAACAAGATATTTTTCAGATTTAGTTGTGACTTCCATACATGATCTTGACATAGCCTCGAGATGTTGATCAACGATAGAAGACAAGGTAAGAAGCTTACCAAGAATGAAGGAAAGAATAAAAGAAAGAGAAACAGTAACCACAAATTCAAGTAAAAGCTCCATGCTACCAAAAAAGTTGAGAGGAGAGAAGAATTTGGCTTGATTTTCGTTGGTTGAAAATAATATAAGATGGGATAGGAGAAATGGGAATTTGAGGAGCACAGCAAAGTATATTCTGGTTTTTTTTTTTGGAAACTGCAAGGGCTGGTGTTATGGCAAATGTGTCGGTCCCAGATCGTAAGAGAAGAGTTTAAAGTTTAAAGAGGGAGAGCTACTTTGAAAATGACTCTTCCGCTAACTGCTCTGTGTGTGGTATAGGAAGTGGTTAAGGTATCAGCTCTTTAAACCTCTTCTGTTTCTTTTGGGGACTGTACTGTTATAACTTCAAATCTAAGTATCAGCAATCATTTCACATGGAAGTTCGAAGAGGGGATTAACTCGAGACAAAATTTTAAATATTACTAATCACATTATTATCCAACAAAACAACCAATTCATATCCAAGGTTTAAATGTTGGTTTGATTTTATTGATTCAAGTTTAAATTTGAGTTGATATGATTTGAATTATTCAAAATGGAAAATGGATGAGTTTTTACTTACTGATTCAAGCTTATATGACTCCCAACAGTGGAAGAAATTTAAATCAATTTCAAAACCAAAAAAATGAATCCTTCGAATAATCTGTTTAAACTCAAATAAAATCAGTATGTGTAATTAAGCTTCATGTATTCAAGTGCTCGACCAAATCCACTTTGTTTCCTTTGCCAAAAGTACTAAATTCATTTACAACTTCAAGATTGGTTCTCCTCCCTTTATCTTGTCTTGTCCTTTTGGTGTTACCATCAATCAAACTTTGCTGCTTTGTGTCGGTGGTGCTTTCTTGCTTAACTAATTAATGGTCGTCCTACTAGAGCTCAAGAAAAAGAGGAATGTGTGTTCCTTTGTGGCCTTCAATCAGGACTTTCAGGAGGCTGGCAGCCCCCAGGCCACGGGCCAGCTTGTTAAAGCTGATAAATCAACCAAAAAAAAAGCATAGGCTTTTACTTTCTCTATTGCATCATTGCACACAGCAGAAAACAACGATCCTATCAACTACTAATAGATTAAGCAACAATTAAACTAAATCTAGATTGACAGAAGGATGTCAACACAGCAAGTTTTGAGAGATGATAATTGAGATATTGGCAGGTAGATTTTCAGCTGCCTTTGTCAATTTCACAAGTTTTTGACAAGTGACAATAGCTTGACCACATTACTAATGATCTGTACCGAACATTGCTCGTGGTTAATGTACATCCACCGGGCAAATGAATTTAGAAATCGGGAAATATTGCCCTTGGGCAGCACATGTGCATTTGTTAAGCCCCACCCTTATTTTTTCCTTAAATTTTTTCTTTTCACTTTTAGCATCGTTAGGTAGTGTGCATAAACTGGTGAAGAGTATTGTCCATGGATAAAAGTAGTTTCCCAACTTATAAGATTATCAAATTCATTGATCAGCACAATATAAATCCTCAATTTTTTTAATTTGGAGAGGTGAAGGGGCACATTATCTTACCTTAAAGAACTAACCATCGTTATTTTATATAAAATATTCCTATGGCAAATCTGATTTCATCCAATCTGTTATTAAAATTGGAATTCATATTACCAACTGGTTGACTCTTCCAGCTTATGCAGGAAACAGGATTGAAAAGTCCAAGCATATATACCCAAATAAATAAGTCTCATATTAAGATTTTCAAGTGGACATTACCATTCTGTGTTCAGTTAAACAAATTACTTGTGAAGATCTTGTCTTAGGTTGATAAGTTAAGCAGCTTGGAAATGGAAACATCTATTTTTCTTTTTGTAATAACCCAATTATTAGTAGAAAAAAGGATTAAGGAAATTGAATTGCATTTCACAACCAAGAATTTATCATTATTATTTAGGCTTAATTAAGCCAAAAGAATATATACATATATAATTTTTGGAATAATGTATAAATTTATTACTTTACTTATGTGAGTGGTCTAAATTTAATAATAATATTTTAATTTATGCAATTTTATCACTTCACTTTTAATTTTGAAACAAATCTATCATCATACTTCAATTTTTGAAGTAATTAAAAAATTTTGTTATAAACTATTTTATATGTAAAAAAATATAAAAAATGAAAAAAAATAAAACCAACAAGGAGAGTATGATATTATACTATATATAATAGAAAATATTATGATGAAATAAAAAATAAAATAAGAAAATCTTGGATTATATGACATTATATTTATTAAAAAATCATGATAAAGATAAAATTTTAACTTCATGGTTTTTTTATAGCTATTTCTAACAAAATTTTCTATTAAATATTTTTAATTATTCCAAAATTTGAAGATAAATTAGCTTTAAAATTCAAACTACTATCAAGTCCATAGGTCAAAGCCATGAAAAACATTGAACACCGCAGCAAAATAAGTGGTCCGTGACAGACTTTTTGGTAACTTTATCATTATCTCTCTCCGCTATATAAATAATCCTATTGTTTGTTTATTTTCATTTTTTATTCGTATATATTTGGCTGAAAACCTGAAACAAATAATTGGCTTTGAATCTTCTCTCCCCCTAACCAAAATAGGGTTTTCTTTTTTCGTCATATTCACGCCAAATCGATCAGCTATGGGAGGAGGCAATGGCCAAAAGTCCAAGATGGCGCGTGAAAGAAACGTCGAGAAGGCTAAAGCCAGCGCTAAAGGTTTCACCTTTCTTTCTTTTTTTTTTCCCTTCTAACAGGAACTAGAAAAATAGTGAAAATTAGCAGAGTTTTAATTTTCATATGAATTTGATATTTGTATCGATTATATTTGTTTGGTTTATTGTTTTTTCAGGAAGCCAGCTAGAATCAAACAAGAAAGCTATGTCGATTCAGGTAATTTTGTGTGTTTATATATTTATTAACCATGATTAGTTGCCTTCTTTTTTTTTAATTTTTATGTCTTGTTTTATTACTGGTTTACTAATTTTTATGTGGGTTGCATTTGCAGTATCTGCTAAGGTTTTTTTTTTTTCTTTTTGCCCATTTGTTGAAAGCTGAAATATGAAGATATTTTAGTCTTTTAATATACAGAGAAAAGGGGTTCAATGAAAATTTTATGATATTTCGTATCTTTGTGGCTTCTACCTGTGTGGGATTGTTTTATATTTGGTTGGGGCTGTTACTTTCGACACTAGAAAAGATTGGATGAAGTCTGATATTTGAGTTTTTAGGCTGATGAGTGGAAGAGAAATTACTTAAACCTAAGCTGTCCTTACACGAAAGTGGCTTTAAGTGCTATTTTCTTCTATGGAATTAGTTTTCATGTTGTAGAATAATCTCTGTGCTTGTCTATTTAACAATTACAAATTGTCAATGAAATTCTATGTTTGTCTATTTAACAATTACAAATTATCAATGAAATTCTATGTTAACATGCTATAGTTGGTTTGCATGTAATATTTAATCTATGCACTCTTATGTTCAATGTGTTTCCATTAAGCACCGTTTGAATGGGTGTGTGGTGCATTGTTGCTTGTCCTCATCCTCCCCTCTCTTTTCTCTTATTTGTTTATGGGTGGTGTATGAGAGAGGAAAAGAGCTCGACAAAAAATGAGCCTGATATATAGTGTTATTATGAAGTAGAATTAGGAAGTGTGAGAAGCAGCAGTGATTTCCCGAGTTCAAATTACAATAACTTTACACCAAAGAGACTCATATTATTGTAGTCGCTATGGAGGAGTCTCTTATTTTGGTAAGTGGCTGCGGATAAACTTACTAGGCATGTTCAAGATGATCTCCTTCAGTGTCTGCTTTATGCGGATTTTAAACGTTCAGCAGAGTAAATTATGTACTGGAACTCTGGATGATTACTTGGTTTAAGTTATGCGTGGAGTGGAAGGATTTTTTATGAATTAGCGTTAACTTCATTATTTGCTTGACGTACTTAAGTATTGGTGATTGTTTGGTAACAATTTATTTACATAAAATGCAGTGCAAGGTGTGCATGCAGACATTTATGTGCACAACATCAGAGGTGAAATGCAGGGAACATGCTGAAGCAAAGCATCCAAAATCCGATGTGTATGCTTGCTTCCCTCATCTGAAGAAGTGATGTAGACCTATATGGAATATCATATTTCCTTATGTTCAGCCTCAATTATGATTTATACGCTTAGGAGAATGTGTGTTTTAGAGTGAGGAACTAATTATTCCTCGTATCTTTTCAATGTGAGATCGATTCCTTCCTGCATCCGTGTTTGAGTGAACATTGATGTTTATTTGGGCTTCTTGTTTCTAAAAAATGCTATCTTTATGTCTCAAATTCCATGGTGTCGTCTTTTCTCCGTTTGCATACTTGAGAGTCACGTTCTGACCATATTGGAAAACGAAAAAGAAAAATGTAAGAAAAAACAGTATTCTTTCTCTCTCTCTCAAACAAAATAAGTTACTTAGGCGAATAATAGTGATGGTAAATATTTCACAGACAAACCTTCAACTGCCTAAAACTGAGTAACCGACAATGGCAGCCATAATATTTAGTAGTTTATGAAACATTAAGCACACAGTAAATCTCCCCAAACGAGTCTGGATTGATCTACAGACGTTATTGAACACGCATCCTACTACTTTCTGCAGCCCTCACTTGAGAGAAGTAAGGATGAGCCTGCAAGAGAAAAACATCATGGCAAGCGATTGATGTGTGTTAGTACAACACAAATGGTAAGAGGCAATGGCCTTCTCAGCGATTAAAAGGCATGCAAAGATTATTACACTTAAAGTTACATGGCAAAAGTCAAAAACTAAAGTATTTATAGGCAACATCTCTTATAGGGAATAAGTCTAGACTACACTATATCCATTTCATATTTATATATGAACATAATCATGTTTTCCAAGCAGCACATGGAAAATTTTTCTTTTAATATTTTACGAAGAAAAAGGAAGAATGAAATTGAGCATCATAAGCCATTTTTAATCAAACCAAAGGAAAAACAAAATCTAGTAGCAATAAATCATAATAATAAGCTTATATAGATCTACCATAGCTTCTTTTGCAGTCAGCCTGTCCTGATGATCGTACTGAAGCAACTTATCAAGAAAATCAATTGCCTGAAAGTAAAAGAGTTACAAAGAATGAATATCACTTATAAGCCTTTACTGCACTGTAACTGAGCTTATAATATTCAATTACCAAGATGTTTACCTAAAGAAGAAAGATTACCTCTGGAGAAACAAGATGCTGATTATCTGCATTAATGAATTTGGACCAGGGCTTGTGGCTGTGCCTGAAAAACAACATATCGGTACATTGATGGAGAAAGAGTTAATCATTCCACACTATTAATGTCTACCAAAAGGATGTCATCTGTGTGTGAAACTGCAATACCTCGGGTGCATTGCCATGGTTTAATGTAACCAGAGCTTTGGTCTACAATTAAGTACAAACTTGCATATTGGATGAATTCATGCTAAATGTACCTTCCAACAAGAGCATCAAGTCGAGGATCAAGCTCCAAATGGTATTTGTTCAGATATGCATTTAACTCATCAGTTCCTAGCACCTGAAGTTACATTAATAGCAGTCAAACGCTTTGTAGCATCCATGTAAACTGACAATACTTTGTTAGGAAAAGCCAAAAAAAAGTGAAAACTTCTTGTTTAACGGTGTATGTAAAGTGTGCCCCTGATACCTATCCCCTACGGAGTGATGGTCGCGAAGAAGGAATAAATGTTTAAATCAAAACCTGCAAGGATGATGCTGCATCTCCAAAGAATAGTGAATAAACAACACTAGCAGGTGCTGAAAAGGTTACAAAGTGATTCTCCAGACGTAGATTGTAAAAGCAAGATGTATAATATGAGATGGACAAGGTAGAACACAAAGAGATAGATTAATACATTATCCCATAGCAGTAACAAAATGATGCATTATCCTAACCAAATGTTAATTTAACAAGAAAAATTATAAGAAAAATTAATCTTCAGCAACATTATTAAAAAACATTCACCACGTTGCAGAAGCATATTACCTTAGCAATTTTAACTAGTTGATCATGGTTGTCATGGCCATAGAAGAATGGTTCCTTACGGAATATCTACACAATAAGCAAGTATAACAAAAAAATTTCTATTATTCACCAAAAATTAATCTTTCAAATGAAAGTTTAATACATTTAAACTAGAATAATGGTATTTCTCACCATTCCAGCAAACATGCAACCAAGGCTCCACATATCCAAAGAATAATCATAGTCCTGTAAGTCAACTAGAAGCTCAGGCCCTTTAAAGTACCTGAGCAATAAGAAGGAAAATTAAACTTCCCAAAATTGAATCTAGATTGCAGAGGGCACTGTAAAGTGAGAGAAACATTCAAAAAGCTATCAAGATTCCACACCTTGCAAAATCTGTTTAGTCGAGTTGCTTGGAAAGTATCATAGGTTATTCATTTTCTAGAAGGTTCTCATATCCAAGAATAGCAAGATTGAAAGAATCTGAGATATTCGACATCCTGGATGTTGAAACTAATACTCTTAAGTCTATAAAAGATAAAAAGAAAGGCAGATGTATTCTTCAAGGAGTCTAGTTAGTAGTTGTTTAAAAGAAGATTAATAGTACTACCAATCTAATTTCTCCTAGCTTCAATTGTTTAATGAGTTTTCTACTAAATTTTGTATCTATATGCCTGTAATAGAAACCAAATTCAGTTTCTGAGGAAAGCCCATTCAATGGACAAGCACAGCAAAGATACATGTAATTAACCCCAAAATAATTTTCTTTTTATTTTTTAGACATGGACTAATATTTAAGCCCAGTCTGTTTTTAAGGTCTCAAAGGGAAATACAATTGAAAGCTATATAAGGTACATGAGTGGGAAAGTTAATCATATGATTCATTAAGTCTTCAAAACATTACCTAGAAGCCACACGAACATTATACTCTTTGCCAGGATGGTAAAATTCAGCAAGTCCCCAATCTATCAAGCGAAGTTTGCGCAGCTCATGATCTATCATGACATTGTGAGGCTTGACATCTCTGTGCATTATTCCTTGTGAATGACAGTAATCTAACGCCTACAAAGCAAAGAAATCTTTTCCTGTCATCCTATAATACAAACATGCAAACTACAAGTCCTCAAAAAAACTTAAATAAGATAGTCAATTTTGGAAATCAATCAAGTAATGAATAAAACTATAAACAATCACCAAACAAATTTCATGATGAAGCATGGTTCTATATATTGAAAGTTTCAATGCAGGGTGTAATATTACCTTGAGAAGTTCATATATGTAGTAGCGAATGTCATAGTCCGTAAAAGTAGGGTAGAGAACTTTGAAATCTGTACTGTTGACATACTCAAATATCAAGCTTGGCGTTTTTGAGTGCTGATCTCTTACAATATCAAGAAGTTTAACTATATTCGGACCACCACATAGATTCTGAAGGATTTTTATCTCTCTTTTAATCTGCCAAAAATATATAAATATAAAGCTCACATTTAAAATCATCGTGACTAGGCCTTATGAATTTACCTAATATAAATCTACTAAATCAGACAGATTATAAGTGCTAACCTTCTTTTTCTTGACAGGCTTGAGGATCTTGATTATACAGCGCTCATTGTTATTGACATTTATACCTTCGAAAACCTCACTGTATTTTCCCCTTCCAACTTTTCGAACAACCTCATAATCATCTTGATCACTAAAACAGAAGACAGTAAAACAAAAACGATAAAGATTTTTAGTTTACGCCGATCGCAAACCAAAATCGGACTACTTAAACATTTGGATTACAGAAATGCTTAAATGCGGTTAGTAAGATTTAAAAATCTCATAAAAGCTAATTACAGAATCTTACATTCGTATTAGCTGATGTAACCTAGTTTAACTTTTAATTAAACAAATCAAGAACAAACCTAATCAAGGATCAACGATGATTTTGAGGAAATAATTTAAAATTTTACCCCCATTGAACAGTGAGGGACTCGTAATCCCAGTAGTCCTTGGGTCGAAGAACGTTGACGTCAGTATAAACGCGAGATTTGGACATGATTAGTCGGCGATTGGGACAAGAGATCTGTCGATCTCACGGTAATCAGAACAGACGTAGGATGTAGACGACGATGGCACAAACTAGCAAGAGGCGGAGTAAAACTGGAGAGTTGGTGGTGCGTCGGGCATATTTCATTAACTCAAGCCAAGCCAGCCCATTTCTTTTATAGCTTATGGTAGAAGAAGGGGATGTGTTTGGGAGGGGGTGGAGTGCCTGCTATGAGCTGAGCTGGGACCTGACCTTTTTGTTTTGGAAATATCGGGGGGGGGGAGAAGATTGGATGGGGATTTTTTTTTTTGGGGGGGTGCGTTGTTGGGACGTGGGAATGGGAAGTTTGGGGTTGTTAGTGGAGAATTAATGACGTGGCTCGTTTTTATTGGATTGGAGGAAAGTTTTTTAAAGATTTTTGTTCTTCAATTTTTTTCCCTTTCAACGCGAGGAAGAAGAAAAGAGGAATTCATTTTTTAGATAATGAATAATTGAATATATATATAGTTAATGAGGATGTTATATATACACAAATGAAAAATGCGATGAAATTCAAATATGAAACATTATAGGTTTATTTTTAAAATTATTATTAACATTTTAAATTCAAGCTCACGAGTTATTATTATTACATGTATGTTGTAAATTAGAGAAAAATATTGAAATTTATTATGAATATATTGTTATATTATTTCCTTAAGTTTAAGAAAAAAATTTTAACTTTAATATATTTAATATTAAAACTAAATTTTTTTTATAAAATTAAAGTTTTATGACTTTTAATGTAAAAAAGTTTTTAAAAAATCATAAAAAATAAAAATTTTATATGTTAAAAAAAGAATATATTTGTGAGACATCCCAAAAAATAAAATATAAACAAAAATAATGAGACAGAGGGAGTTTTTGATAAAAACATAGCACAAGGTTTTAAATATTTTGTGTAAACCAAAGGATAAGCTAATGCCGTCAAACCTTCCTTTGAAATGAATTATAACTAAGTTGGGCTTTTCCCTTTCCTCAATTAGTTCATAGTAGTTTTTATTTTATTTATAATTTTTTTATGCAACTAATTAAGAGCAATTTGTTTTTATTCAACCAACCTTACTTTCACTATCTAAAAATCTTTGGATACCAATCCTTTCAACCTTGAAGCTGGAAAGAGATTTTGAGTACCTCTAACAAAGGTGCAAAATGGATGAATATGTGATTGTTACTTATTTGAGATCACCAGCAAATCAAACATGAAGACGGAGAAGAAAATGCATCAAAATTACTATATTTTTATATTTATATCCTATCAAAATATTAAAATTTATATATATTTTATACAAAAATTATGTATAATAATTTATGTTGATACGAAATCATGAAATATATTTTTTTATTTTATTAAATTAATATATAACTATTATTAAATTTTTAAATTATATTACTTTGAATTCTTTATCCTGTCATATTTGTATTAAGCTTTCATTCCCCAGAGATCTACACAGATTTAGGTTGAATTTGCTCAAAGTAAAAAACCTCAAACATAAGGCGCCTCACATCTGGCTTGCCATAAACGGTGTACGAAAGCCCATGGAGGGATTGTTGAACAGCAGTTGTGGCAGGATTTCGTCTTCGATTGTGCTCGAATGCATCTTGAACCTGCTCCGAGTAGATGATAAAACGATGGAGATATTTTTCCCTCAAATACCTCCCGCAGAACTTGTTCATGAGAACACGGCGATGCTTTTCTTGTAGCCATCTTCCAGGGGCATCTAGATGCTTCATCAGCAACCTCTCAGCCATAACAAGATCCTAAAGAAATTAAAAACAGGCATCTATCAGATTGAGTTATTGGAACAGATTTTGCTCTCATATCCTTCTTTTTTCCAAAGAGTCATATCAAATAATAAAAAGGAGATAGATGTTTGCTAAACAGGATCTATGGTTGCTTAAACAGGCCAAAGCATATGTCCAACACTGCAAAAACCATTACCTGGATCTTTTGGCCAACGAATTCCAACCGCCCAAAGCAAAACCGAGAATGTTCAAACTTGTATTTTGATGGTTGCATAAAACAAAGCTGTAATCCCAGAAATAAAACAACACATCAGGAATCAAACAAAGCCCCAATCAAACAGGAGAAAGATGAGTAAATAGCGCCTTCAGTTAGAAACGAGAATAAACAAGCAAGCATAGATATGAAAAAACACACAATATAAATTCATGAAAGACTAGACAGTCAAATTACCTGTAGCCCAAGTCCAAGTTCAATGTTCCTCGCTTCAGTAATTTCAGGAATTCTATCCTTAACTGCCAAGAGATATCCCAGTACCTGCATAACTTGTGGTTTGCTGTCATAATCCCAGATATTTCCCTGAAACCGATGCATACCTGGTGGAACACAAGCCCTGAATAGCCTTGGATGTGCAAAGAGAGCATCTTCAAGTGGCCATAAAGAAAAACAAATTAGGTTAAGTTTCCTCACAATATAAATGTTTGAAATGCTTCTCCAGACTCCGGAAACATTGCTCTAAAACATAGCACCAATCATACACCTATTCTTTCTTTTTGCTCACCCTTTAAGGTTTTCCAATTAACAAATAAGCTATCAACAAATGAATGAGAACAAACCAAAGCTTGCCTTATAAGTAGCAACATCTTAACAACTGAGCTTATTCCCTTCAAATTCAACAGAAACATAATCCACATCTTTGAGTTGTCTCCTTAACCGTGGCTGGCAGTCCCCAGCTTCTGGATCCATTTCAAATACTTCAAAAAGAACACGATACACTTGTGGCATACCAAAATACAAGCATATTGCCCCAAACGAAGCCCAAAAGATAGACCTAGCCATAAGAACATAAATTAGTAGCCAATATATATGTGCAATCAGTCAATTACAAATATCTCACAATGCCACCACCCAAGTGCATCAAGTGATACTAGCTCTCAAGATGCTCATATGTATTAGGTACATACATGCTTAACTGTTACACATATGAAAGCTAACACTTCCTGTCAGTAAGCTAAGGCTTGGTGGCACATATTTCCTATCAAAATACAAGGTATCTATCAGCCTCCTAACTATTGCAATACAAGGTATCTATCAGCTTTTCTATCCCTACCCTGACATTTTTACTGTATTAATGAAACTGTTGTTAGCAGAGCTCCATAACTTCAGAGCTTTCAGGTCTTCTCTGTCCTGTGTTTTTCTGGCTATGCAATTTGTTGTTAGAACTTAAATTTGAAATTTGAGACTTTTACCATCAACTTTAGCTTTTGGGATCATGGGTTACCCTAATATCTCTTCAAAATATTATACATCCTAACAAAAAGATCATAGTCAAACAAATTGTTTATCGTGCAGAACCCCTTTCTCAACTTCACATAATAAGGCATTTAAAGAATGTTTAGTAAAGCATGTTTGGTGCCAACAATACAAGTTCATTTAGTAGCTTCATCACTAGCAGATGACACAGAAAGAATATGCTTAATAATGGTGGAAGCCCCCTCCTACTGCAGTCAACTTATTATCACAGCAGTCCCATCATATGGCTCCAACTTGACTCAGCTTCCTTTTTGTCAAGAGCACACAAGAAGCCTAGTGCACCACTTTACTAAGATGCAGTATGTTTGAGCAAGTTCGGGATTCAACTATGTAATTTTCAAGATATAAGTTTGAGCAAGTGCAGCTGCAATATCGGAGCAGCTAAATTCCACCCATGTACATCTCAGTTCCCTAACTAGTATGGGTAGTCTTATTTTCCTTACATGCTATCAATTGTCAAATCACATTGCTGTGCAGAATATGTAGCCAATCAGGAAGATGGCAACCACCAGAACCACAGAAGAATATGCCTATTTCAAATTGATGCCTGGCCCTGGCTTGCCAAAAAGCATCCGAAGTCCAAACTAAAACTAAAAGCATAAGAGTAAGTCCTGAGTTAACCTAGCATAGAATTCAAGAACTTAAAATACTCCTTATTTAAGGACACTTAGAAGGTAGCAGAGCCGTGGGCAACTAAAAGACAGATCAAAGCATCAAAGCTGAAGGCAAGAGGCCTTAATGGTTTTATTTCTATGTCATGGAATGCGACACAAAATTAAGTGCACCATTTGCCAAAATGAAAATGAAGCACCTCATTTCAGATGAAAACATAGACTTATTCCAAGTATTATAACTTGAAATACAAACAGATGACCAGCCAAGTTCAAACTAGAATACAACATGGAATAGATTTGTGAATCCTACACATCAATATCTATTATGCACATTATTTACCAAATTATAAACAGAAGAAAAACTTACTTCACAGGCGGTTCCCGGTCTGCAAGCGTGCAGCTTTAATCCACTTAGGCAAATTCCTCTTCCCAATTAAACTAAACACCCTTTCCCTCATTAGCCCCGGTGACTCCCTCGGATACCTCTGCAAGAAAAACTCCGCTGGAGCCAGCTCCACTACATACTGCCCCATAAACCAAAGCCTCAATACGCGGACCTAACGTGCCTGGCATTAGTCCTATCACAAGAAGGATGCTGAAATGCCAAATATAATAAAGTATCAAACTGTTTAGCCAGATTATCATCTCCCAATTCATCAGATTTCTCCAAAGGGTACCCCAAAGCTTGCTTAGCTTCAAGCAAATACTCATCTATCCAAGTTTTGTCGGCATCGTTAAGCTTTGAAGAAGGCAAACAAGAACTTAAAGAAGGGAATTGGTTCAATGATAAATGTGGGCTGTTAGGAATCTTTCTGTCAATTTGGAGCTGTTGCGGAGATTTTTTCTGTCAATTTGGGCGTTCTTGTGATGGGTCGATAGCTACAGCGAAAATGCGGAGATTTTTGGTGATGATTTTTGGTTGAGCTGAAGTGGGAAAGGAGAGAGATGAAGAGAAAGATATTTCGAAGAGTTTTTTTTGAGAATGGTTTTAAAAGAGGAAGAAAGTTCCATTGAAGGATTCATTGAACTAAAAGATCGAAGCATATCTTAATGTGTTTGATTGCCAGAAATGGAGATTTTGGGTTTGGTTGCCATAGAAGAATGTGTGTGTTTGCAGGGGTTTTAGGGAGGGTTTGGATAAACTGAAGAAGCGTCGCTAATTTTGCAGTAGATTGATTATGACCATCTCCGGCGAGGAGATTTTTTTTGTTTTTTTGTTTTTTTTTATGCGATAATTTCAAACGACGCCGGGTGGTTTAAGTAGTACGACGCCGTTTCTCTCGATTGGTATTTTTCTAAAGTGCAATTTCTGTTTCCATTTTTATTTTCCTAATAATTGGAGAAGTATTTATTTAAATTAAAATTCTCAATGAGGTACGATTTCCATTAAAAAATAATAAAATATATATCTTAAGAAGAATATGCAGTATTTTATGAGAAAGGAAGCTAGTGGAAATTTTTTTTAATGCACTAGTGTTTGTTATCATTTTATATTGCAAGTGAATATTTATTTTTTATTTATTGTTGAATATATAACTATGTATATTATGTATAAATAATTAAATATAAATAACTAAAATAATATATTTATATTATTTTTTATTTAAGAGTATGCTCTTAAAATAATCTTGACTAAAACACTAAAAAAAACTTTTAGGTTATCCACTTTTATATTTTTATTATATTTAAATACATTTTTATTTTTTTATTTTTTTATAAAAAAGAAATAATATTTTATAAAAACATTAATTTATATTAAAATAATTTAAATGCAAATTAAAAATTAAAAAATTATTTGATCATAATTAAGCCGGGAATTTTGGATTTTAATTCTTGAAAGAGGATTGAAGTAATGTCAAATATGCTGAACAACAAGCGGATTAAATTAATATAAAATACTATTTTTTAATGTTAATATAAAATATATAAGTAAAAAATTATAACAAATTATCAAAAAAATTAATAGTAAATTTTTTTAATTTAACAATAAGAGTTAATATGACAGCACATATCTTTTATAATATGTTTGACATATAAGATTAAGATAAAATATAATAAGATGATATTATGAATAAAATAAAATTAAATTATGTTATTATATTTTGTATTTGTTATGTGAAAATATTAGAATATAATAATTTATTTATTGATCAAAATTTTTTTTTAAATTTATATAATTTTTAAGGACATAATAGAATATATAAATTAAATTCTATAGATTAAAAAATAATTCTTTTCACTTTAAGAGGATTGAATTATTATGTATCAAAAAGATGATTAATCATTTTATAATCATGTTATTTTCTTTAGATATAAACTAAATATAATATAAAATGATTATTATTTTATTTATCTATCATCTTATATATCAAATATAATCTTAATATATATTTAAAAAATAAAATATTTATCCAAAAAAATAAGACATATGTTACAGTCTTAACTTCCATTGTAAAATTCAAAAAAAATTTTACTATTAATATATCAAATAATTTTTTAAAATGTATATAACTAAAATTTGATATACAAAGCCTAATCGACCCAACTAAAGTTTTAAAAATATTGCTGGAGCCCAATAGAAAAATGAGCTGAGTAAAAGGCTCAGTTGGGCGTTTGGGCTAGAGAGTTAAGATTGGCCCTAACCCTGATGTAAATTGTGATGAATTACATGGTTAAGGAAGGAATATTTGAGTTTTCAATTCTTGAACGAGGTTAATCTGTTTGACAGAAAAATATTAGCGGCCGGTATCCCTACCCATCGCCATTGTACGTCTGTCTTGGCCTCTTTCATTCTTTTTTTTTGCCAATTTTCACATTTTTCGTCATTCTAATTTTGATAATTTACCAATAAAATACACTGCAAATCATGCATACAATAACACTAATGTTAATTTGTTCATCTTTTCTTTTTTACTTGGCCAACATGTTGTCACTTCTCGCATGGCCCTTTTTGTAGCTTGACGTGACCTCCTAGCCTTGGCTGCTAGAATTTTTAGACTCTCCACCATGAACATGACAACAACAAAATACATAAAAAGCCATGCTCGTATCAAGCCACTTTTAATCCAAGATTTAATCCATGATTTTCGTGTCTGTCTATATTCGTAGGCTTGCTTGGCAATATTTCGGTGATGAATTTTTCCATTTATATGTGATTGAAAAGACATGACAGACACCCAAAAGCAAAGTTATTTATGCATACATACCGAAGATGTTGCATTTTGCCAGTTTTGGGGAGTTGGTCTCATCTACCCATCTTATTTTTTGGCTGTCAGCTTCATCATTGTTAGTATTTTCTTATTATACAGATGTAAATGCTGAAAATTCACTCTTTTTCTTGACTATACAATAAGATTTTCTACATATTTTTAATCATTCTCCAATAAATTTGTGACAGCAACTCATAACAACTCTCGATGATATAGTTTCTTTCCATAGTGATTATGATGAATGAACTGAGACAATAATTTTCGTAAAGTTTCATTTTCTAGGAAAGATCCTTGTCCATAGGGTTGAATTCTTTTCTCATTATTCATCTTTCTTTTTCTTCTTGACCAGCATAAAAAAGAACTGCTTTTCCAATTTGTACGACTACCCCAACTATATGGATAATCTGATAATCTCTATATATGTTTCCCCTTTTTTATCTGATCGATCGTGATCAACTATTTGCATTTCTGTCATGGAAATGTCCAAATCATCACCACCATATGCCCTTTTTCTACAGGCTCTTATTGACAAGTTCACTTGTGTTTGGACTATCTGCATTGTCATGAATGGTAAGGTTCAAAGTAGGACCTTTCAATTAAAGTTAAAGCAACTAGGTTTATCAGAAAAATTTCATAGTTATTTAAATCTTGATAGGTGTCTTGCATATAAATCTACGAAAGGCAGCCACAGTAGCTTGTAAAGCATCAGTTTCAGACTTTCAGGAGCTCCTGTAAGGTATTTTGCTTCTCTGTCTGATGAAGCATGTGCAGTCTTAATCCAAAATTAATCACCGAAATCAACCTATTAATTTAGGTAGTAAATTTTGGAACCGTTCACGTGGGATGGGCACAATCTTTGACGGTGTTGGGCTTTTGGCTAGAATGGTTCTTTACTTCTTTCTCCTTTTGAGAGGTTCACCATCATTTTTGTGGCTGAAACTTTAAGCACTACTTCCAAGTGAATATGGAGACAGATGCGAGGTGACAGGTCTCATATAACCAAGTGGTGGGTCGATGGCTTTATATAAACAGGCTGCCTCGTATTTAGAGGTTTCTGAAATCTATGGATCCCATCTCAGCAGGAATCCTAATCCTCGGTGGTATTCAAAATCATTGCTTTGATTGTGGGCCTCTTAGAACATGTCACACTATCTATCAAGTACTATTGCTTGCTTGATGCAGAATTTTGCGTAAATTTGATTTCTTCCTTTCGCAAGACTGCATCCCTTAACCCATATCTCCCACCCCACGAGAAATCATTTCTCTTTGTTTCTAGTACATTTCATCTGCATCATATAGAAGTCGCCTCAATAGGACCGGAATATTCACGCAACAGGCAAAGATTGTTCAAGATTCAAGAATGAATATGTCGCTTACCTGCAACACTTTCCCCTATTCTCAAGCTGGCCTCCTTTATACCCAAAAATATGTCCTTTACCAGATGACTTACGTTAGCTTTTCTAATCCTGGTGAATAACCCCATTATGCGATTATCTCTACTGGCTTCTGTTTGATTTAAGTGACAAAAATACAATTCAGTTTGTAAAGATTCACCAGGTTATTTGCTATGTTATGATAGGCACATGATCAAACTCTTTTTATGTTCTCAGAGTATCAGGATTTTGCAACCCTTTTTAACTTGTAAAAGTTTCTGTAGCTAATGAAGTGACCTTTACTATTCAAGTTTTGGTCTATACCTTAAGCTCGAATCCAAGGTAGACATAATGACTTTGATTAGGTATAAACATTAGGAATTTTGTATGAATTATGGAGATTGAACGAATAACACTGTAGCAGCCCTACCTCAACAAGTACCTTTTGTTTTTGGCTTCTTTTCTCAGGGTTTTGTCAAAATAGTTGAAAATGGTTCAGAGACCAATAGGTCCAATACCACTCGACATATTGGACAATTGCCTGCAACTAAATACAAAAATCCTTTTAATGTAGTCTAACCAAGAAGTCCAACGGCTGGGGCCGGAAGAGCTGTGAAGTGAATATGAATTATAGATCCGATGCAGATGTGAAATATTACAATGGATTGGAGATCAAGTGATAAATTTGCTGTCCAATGAACTATCAACGTTCAGAAGGGGACCCGTAAATTGCGTACAACAGATGAAGATAACTGATGACAGGTACAACAGCTGATGTTTTCATTGATTTTAAGGACCTCATTTATTGCAGAAAGAATTGCTGTTGAACTATCTTCACTTTGCTGTGTATTAATACTAGGGAACCCAGTTACCTGCTGCCTTCAAAAGGAGATAAGTTATGGTTGTGACAGTGATCAGAATTTCTCTTATTTTGGCATCTAAAACTTACTTCGTCTCATTTAGCAAACATATCTTTCTTCCTTGGTAAAAACAATCCAGATAGGATAAAGCCTATCCCAACCAAGCCAACTAGCATTTTCTTCCATTTCACGTGCGTTTGCAATCACATAACTTTGCACCAGAGAATTTTACTCTGACATGCTGCTACTGGCTTTGATAGAAAATGACTCTTGCCTGACACGGAGTAACTAAAACTGAACCTGGAGAAACATGGTTTTGAACTAAGAATGGGAACATCTAGAGAAATCCCGAATGGGAAAACCTCAGGTTATTACATTTCAAGAAGTAGATTGATTCGAGTCAAGTAATCTAGGTAGAAATTAGAATTGAATTCAATATGTGCAATTCCTAGGCCTCATAGTGGAAGACCGGCCTTGTTTCAGCTAGATGGACCAGGGTGGAAAATTTTGGTGTAAGATATCTTACGTTTGCTTTAAATTTCAAATTCCTTCCATCTCAGCAAAGCTAAACCTTCATATGGATGCTGATTGGATATATTGGAAATTGGTTAATGTGGTGAACAAGTTGTCACTCACATGTATACAGATGTGTTCCACAATTACCTCAGAGCTTGGACTTGAGTGTCGATCTGACGCCTTGAAAAGCAGCCTGGAACAAGGTTTCTATTATTACACTGTAAAGAAGCATGTGAAGCAGAAAGTTAAACACAATTTCATGATAACCACCTTTTTTTTAACTCTAACATTAAAAACCCATGGTTGCTTATAATTATGAGAGTCATCTAACTTGAAATAAAGCTATTCCAAAGTCAGACAGGGAAACCCTGGTATCTTGTTTTACATGCCATTTTCCGTTTAAGCCAGATAGGTTAGGTTTTGAATGCTGCGTTTAATGTGCAATGAAAATCAACAAAGAATTGAAGATGGAAACTTTTGTGGATAAGAATGTTTCCCACGTGGTAGCTTCTACCTTTAGCCGCCAAGGGACATGAAGTCATCTAATCTCTTCAACAAAACTCCCTAAACCCACACCACACACTATTATCTGCATCTATCTTCTTATATTCACCTCATTTCATTCCTTTAATACCCAAAATGCCACTCATTTTAAATTTACACCGTACAGACTACCCTCTAGTTTTCTTGGGAGACCTAGTTTTGGGACTTCGCCTATTCTGATGATTGTTTGTAAGGCTGAAGTTGGATAATGCAGTTATTAGAGAGATGAGCTTCAGCTTGAGCTTCTATTCTCATTATTAGTGGAGCACTTTTTTTATTTTTTTTTTAAGTTTCAGGTTCTTATTTAACATTTGAAAAACAAGGTCATAAAGAAACAAAACAGTACGGGAATGTCATGTTCTCTTGCTTCACCATAACCTTGTAAATTATAAGCACAGTATCAGAATTCCTCTGTTCCTAGGCTCTCATTTTTTATGATGTGATGGAGATGCAGACATGATCATGATAAAATTGCTTCAGCCTCTGCCATGGTGGATCTTGATCAGGAGGAAACTGCACCCATCACTCTTAACATGTCCTCTAAAAAGAAGGAGCTTCTGTCCACAGCCATGAAGAGAACCAGCGAGTGGTATGATTACTATCCTTTTTTCATAAGCAGGGACCAATTTTTGTGAACCGGCTTCTTAAATTGCTTTTCAGATAGGAAACAGAAAAAAAAATGGTAAGGACACTGAAGTTGATAAGTTGATTCTTTTTCCAGGATTTTCTCTCAGGAGATTCCCAGTGATGTCACTGTTCAAGTTGGAGGAGCATCTTTTTCACTGCATAAGGTAGAATTCAAGCACTTCATTTCCCATATTCCTTTTGAAACGTATGATTCCATTTCCATTCAACAGAGTAACAGTCATAGCATGTTATTTTAACAGCATGTAAAGACATTCTCCATGTCTTGGCAACCATGGAGAAGCTTAATTGCATCTACCTTTTGTTTGCATTTACCATGTGTCCACAAAGCAAATCAACTTTAAGAAGTAGCAAGAATTTAGCATCTAGCTCTAGTTTTGTTAATGACAGAATCATGGATTTTTTTAATCTTATTTTCGACTTTCAATTGCAGTTTCCATTAGTCTCTAAGTGTGGATACATAAGGAAAGTGGTGTCAGAATCCAATGATGCTGATCTTTCAGTCATAGAAATTCCTGATGTTCCGGGTGGGGCTGAATCATTTGAACTTGCAGCTAAATTCTGTTATGGGATAAATTTTGAGATAAGCACTGAGAACATTGCCATGCTAAGATGTGCGGCAGAGTATCTTGAGATGACTGAGGACTATGCGGTTGGAAACCTTGTGGGAAGAACTGAAGCCTACTTGAATGAAGTGGCACTTAAGAGCCTAGCAGGAGCAGTTTCTGTATTACATGCGTCAGAAAATCTCCTCCCTATTGCAGAGAAAGTTAAATTGGTGGGCCGGTGCATAGATGCGATAGCATATTTAGCTTGCAAAGAGAGCCAGTTTTGTATGTCTGGCAGGTCTGAGAGTGGCAATGAAAGTGCAATGGCTTCAGCAATCTCTAACTCAAAACCTATTGTTGATTGGTGGGCTGAAGATATAGCTGTTCTTAGAATCGACATCTTCCAACGGGTTCTGATTGCAATGATTGCAAGAGGGTTTAAACAATATGCTCTTGGTCCCGTGCTTATGCTTTACGCACAGAAAGCTCTTAGAGGTTTGGTGAGACCCCATACCAACATAGTTGACTTGTTTACCTAATATAAATATGGTTAATATCTAAAGTGCAGACTCTTTATTCATGCAGGAAATATTTGGAAAGGGGAGGAAGAAAATTGAGCCACGACAAGAACATGAAAAGAGGGTTGTCTTGGAAACCATAGTGAGTCTTCTGCCAAGGGAGAAAAATGCAATGTCTGTAAGCTTTCTATCTGTGCTGCTACGAGCAGCAATATACCTTGAAACAACTGTTGCTTGTAGACTTGATTTAGAGAAAAGGATGGCCTTGCAATTAGGGCAGGCTGTTCTGGATGATCTCTTGATTCCTGCCTATTCTTTTACTGGGGATACATTGTTTGATGTGGACACCGTACAGCGGATCATGATGAATTACCTAGAATATGAAACTGAAGGGAGCCATGTTGGCTATAAAGATGAAGATGAGTATATTTCTCCTCCACCAAGTGACATGGAAAGGGTGGGAAAGCTAATGGAGAGCTACCTAGCCGAAATAGCATCTGACCGGAATCTATCTGTCTCAAGATTCATAGGTCTCGCTGAACTCATTCCAGAACGATCGAGGGTAACAGAGGATGGGATGTATAGAGCCATAGATATCTACCTCAAGGTGCAGTCTCATCTTAAGAATTTGGTGCAACTTTTTACTCATTCAATAATTATGATTAGTTAGTGTGATATATATTCTAAGCTTATATGAATACAAATAAAAATACCATTTTCTACGAACATTCATGGTCTATATGCCATAAATTAGTATAGTAATTTTCAAATAATCACAAATTTTGAAATCTTTGTAAATTCTAAATTAAGTTACTGCCTACTGCTAACTGTGGTAGCTATTTCAAACCTTGAACATGTTGCAGTAATGGTGATTTTGAAGCATTCTCATAAAAGATATATTACTATCAAGGTTCACAAATTTCTTATACGATTGGTAATATTAAGATCTTTTTGATTCACAGGTGAATCAGATTTGTCATACGACTGTTACAAGAATCAAAAGCACCCTTTAGATTTCCTTGCTTTTTCTTTCTTTATTTGGATGAATAGTTCTCGTGTCTTTTTTCTTTTTTGGCTGAAATAGTTCTCTTTTATTTTAGTACATTCCTTTACTGAAAGCTGTCTTTGTAATCCATCTTTGATAATAATTTACAGGCTCACCCCACCATAACTGACTTGGAGAGGAAGAAAGTTTGCAGCTTGATGGATTGCCAGAAACTCTCTCGGGAGGCATGTGCTCATGCTGCTCAAAACGACCGTCTTCCTGTCCAGACCGTGGTTCAAGTTCTTTACTATGAGCAACAACGCCTTAGAGATGTCATGAATGGAAGCATCTCAAGTGGAGATTCCCCTGCCATTTCTTCCAGAGTGAATTTATACCCCACTGATATCCACCCAGTTTCAGATGAACTTTCCAGCTTAAGAAGAGAGAATCAGGACCTGAAACTAGAACTAGCAAAAATGAAAATGAGATTGAAAGAAATAGAAAAATCATCATCAGTTAAATCAGCAGTAAGCAGTCCTATGGGAAATATTCTGCCTTCATCTGATAAGCCTCCTTTGCCTAGAAAATCATTTATGAATTCAGTTTCTAAGAAACTTGGACGGCTTTATCCTTTTGTTCGGGCGGATCATGGAGTCTCAGCTTCCGGTGCCAAAGGTCGAACAAGACCCAGCAAAGATAGGAGACACTCCATATCTTGACACATTGGCTTGCCTCCATCACTACTTTTCTGAAGAATTTAATGTCTGTGCTGCTTTAAGGCTTGAGAAAACTTGTAGCTGTCATCTCTCTTTTTCTTCTTTTTTTTTTGGGGTACCATCTAAAACTCTTGGACCCCTTCTATATCTGCTTCTTTTGTGTGGTTTTGCTGTAAATAATATCATCTTTATGTTGTTGAACACATTTATTCAAAAGATGTTGATAGGAAGTAGTATCAATGGAGGTTTCAAAACCTATGAAATATGGGTCATTAATATGTACTGAAGGGGTTCGAATCTTATCTTAATCTAAGGTGCCATTCGGATTCAGTTGCACCTTCAGTAGGTGCGGTTAGAATCCTCAACAGGACTGAAATTATGTTTTTCAACCTCATTGGACCACTGTTTTCTCACTGGATTTCGCCCCCTCCTGTGGAAATGTTCTTGTCCACAGCAGCTCTCCTTTCCTGTATTACCCAAACTACTTTAATTTTTCTTTCTCTTTTACCTTTAAAATTATAACCATGGATAAATATATCTTTTTTTTATAGATTGGTTTGGTATTTTTCGTTATTTATTTATTTATTTATTTGTTATTTTATTGTTTAAAATTTAAAATTTTCAAATTAATTTATTATAATGATTTAACATATCATTTATATACTTATTTAATAAGTTAATTAATAATTAATTAATTAAAATAATAAATACATAAAAATAATTATTTTTATAATTAAATACATTCAGTGAATGAAAAAAATAAAATAGATAACTATATAAATAATAAAGTAAATAACTATTAGTTGTTTTTATTCTAATATATATAAATATATTAATATTTTTTACAAAATATAATTTTGTTAAAATTAATATTTAAAAATATATTATTATTAATTTTTAACAAAATTATAATTTTATAAAAAATAATTTTATTAATTTTTAATTATTTGATAATTTTATAAATATCAAATATATTAAAATTTTTATTATATATATATTTAATTTAATATAATAATTTTTAATTTTTATTATATTTTACTTCACGTTATTATTACTTTTATATATAAATATATATTTTATCGTTAATTTTAATTTTAATATTATAATAATTAATTATACTGTTAAAAATTTTACGAAAATAAATGTAAACGTACATATAAATTATTCTAAAACAGACCATTTGTACTGTTAATGCAGATTGTGGGGTCTGTATCTAAATTATTGAGACCTTTTGGATAAAGAACTTTGGAAAAGCAATTGTAGCTTGAGGGACAGGCTAGCATTTGTACATATTGTCTGTGGCAAAAGCATCAGTGCCATTAAAAGATGGTTCACAAATAGTCAAGTTTTCATGGTTTCAGACTTTCTCTAGATAGGCATGATTATTGTTCTTCTATGACAGGCCTTGTTCTTGTAGTGTAGAAGTTTCAGCTGCCCCAGATGCCAGACAAAAAAAATAAATAGAGCTAATTAGAATTTTAGGTACTGTGTGGAATATAATAAATATTGGAGAGAACTAAAAAAAAAGGACTCTTTCTTTTTTGTTTGGTACTTGAAAAAAAAAAAAAAAACTCTTTCAAGGTAATAAAAAGCATCATTTGCAGATTTCTTCAACCTGGTTTGATCCTTGATGGCAATTTGGCAAATTTGTTTCCAGGAAAATCATGTATGGAATGGTGGAACTCTGTTTCCAAGAGCACAGCAACCCTATATGACATGGGCTTGCATTTCCTTTCAGATTCACTAATTGGTCTCCCGAGTTATTGTACATTTTTTTTTTCTTCAAAAACAATGCTGAACTAATAGAAATAATGTTATACAATCCGCATATGCTCAATCAGGACAGATGAACAAATTAACTATTAAACAAAAAATACTTAGAAAGATGCCAGAAATTTCTTTTTGGGATCAAACTTGCATTTTTGAATGTTGCATCATTCAACATAAATTCCCTTTGACAAACTTTTTACAAATGTGCATATTCCTGTTAAACAATAAAAAGTTTTGTAAATAGATTTTGTTAGACTAAAACAATGGTTATATGGCAAAGGTTGATCAAATCAAAAGAGAACAACAAAGGTGCGCTTGAACTTATAAGTCTTTCAAAGTGGACTTGAAAAGATTTGAGTGATTGGAAAGCTGAGCTCAACAAATATCAAGTCAATAAGTATAGTAATGGAAGTCAGGGAAACTAGTGATCTTTACAAAAGACTCCACCACCCATTTTTGCTAAAAACAACTAAGCAGAAACTTCCACACAAACACCAATCACAGAAAATTGGAAGATATTTTCTCATTTTTTTCAAGTCATATTCATACTTAGAACTTGGAAAAGCCAAGGAGGCTGTTTTAATCTCTCTTGTTTCAATTGTTCTTCGAGATCAATATTGTTTTTACTTCCATTTTGATACCCCAATGTCATGTCAGTAACCTGGAGGAGTCCCAGCTCACGACCATTGAATTCATCTCTTGTTGTATTTGTCTTCTGTTTGGTCATGGAACTACTTGTCCTGTTCATATGACTGGATTCAGTGGAAGAAGAAGAGAAGCTGCTTGGTCCAGAATCCGAAGTTAGAGGAGTCCCATGTTTCTTCCTCGGCATGTACCTTGTGGGCCCTAACGTCAGCTCAATCTCGTTCTCATCTATGACTTCTAACGTTCTGTTACCATGATCTGACTCTGCAATGTTGTATTCTTGATCAGCCGGAAGTTCGAAGTCAAGTCTCATTCTTGAATTCTGGTGCATATTCCCATGGTTCCCATGGTGATTATTCTTGAAGCTAAAGCTTCCATTAGTCCTGCTGTTTTCAATGCTTTTCATCAATGTCTTCTGGATTCGATATAGACGATGGAGCTCGTAGACCTGACAGCATTAACTCAAGCTTAGAACAACAAATACTATATATAACAGATAAATATACTTAAAAACAAGCAAGTAATAAGAAATATATACCTGCTCTTTGAATGTTTCTTCATGCTTTAACATTGCCATCCTCATATACTCCTTATCGTACGGCCTAACAAGCTTCTCCATTGGACTTTAATGTTGCTTGTACAATATCCAGGATAAATAGAGTTGAATTTGGATATATGATCCCTTTCTTTCCAAGAAATTTGCTCAAAAAAGTAGATCACATATCTACTCTGATGCTCAATCACCTTTCACAATTTTACCTATAAAATGAGCTAAATTGCCAAAATAAAAGATTAGAAAAAATGGCTGAGAATCCTTGATCGGTGATGGATTGTTATTTTTCAAATAGAAAAGGGGGTGAAGGGCATATTAATGTTTTCAACACTAAAATGAAAGAGTTATTAACATCAACTACTTTTAGTATAATTTGTCTGCTTGTTCACATGTTTTTGGGCCACACTCATGATAATCTTCCATACAAAATATCTTCCATTATGCAGCTTTGTCTATGGTGCATATATATCATATGTGGCCTCAATGTTCCACCACCCATTACTTCAAACTCAATTGGCATATATCTTTTTTCTCCTCTTGTTGGTATATTCTTATTTCAATACTCTTTTCTGTTAAACATTCTGGATTGTATCAATCATATCTAGTTAATCTTTTTATAACCACATTTTACAAAATATAATATTAATATTCCTTCATCTAAATGGATCTTCTTATCATTGAAATGCCATTCAGATTCTGTCTTACATGGTGATCACTGATCTCTTATAAATTCAAGTTGTAGAATAAATCAGGCTTGGGAGAGATGTATGAGTAAAGCCTAAGAAGTCTTTGCCGCTTAAAAAAAAAGTTGCATAAATATCTAATTATGAGTATCCAAACTTAATTACTAAGACTACAGAAGAGAGAAGGATCAGTAATCAGAAAATTCATTCTTTAAGAAAAAAACAAATCATGCAAATATGAAAGGTGCTGATTATATGTGTAATAATAGGATCATTATCATGTTGAAGGGAAATTCTTAAAGAATCGTTTTGAGATGAATGAACCTGTTAGATTCCAAAAAGATTGAAAGGAAAAACCAATGCATATATGCATGGAATAAAAGAAAAAGGGTGGTAAGAAAAAAGCATATTCTGACCTTTTAGAGCTTCTTCAAGAGGTAGCAATTAAGAAGATCACAGCTTTGTGTTGCTAACCAGTCGGAGGAGATAGGAAGCAAAAGGAAAGAAACTGTGTTTTGGAAGGAAAAAGAGAAAATAGAAAAGGCAAAAAAGCTTGAAATCTCAACTGGAGCCACAACTTGGGTTGACAGAGAAAGAAGATGACCTTGCCCTCACATTCCCCATCAGTATATACCTCAGAAAAGTTTCAAATAAACTATGAAGAAAAAAGGAAAAAGAGAAAAAAACTGAAAGAGAAAAATTTAAGATTCTCTCTTTCACACAGAAACCAAAGTGTTGGTGCATCTGGGGTTTGAGGCATGCCAAACAAATCCCAGTCTCATAGCCAATGCCATTCAAGTTTTGTGGAAGAGATGCCTCAGACAGGTCCAGCAATGCAATTTATATAAAATTAGATCTAATAATACCCAAACCTCTTAGATATATAATTCTAGAAACCGACATTTCTATAATGGGGTTTTGAGGATCACAATAAGGGCCTAACACTACTGCTTCTCCAGACAATCATAAAAAAGAACAGCTTAGCTTGTTAAGGTGAATCACATGCACCCAAGAATTCTATATCCCTTGCAACAGTTGTCTCTTAATTATATATAATAGAAAATCATTTATCGTTTTATTTACAATTTTTATGTTAGTGGAAACTGATACGAAGAAGCTCAAGGTGGCATCTCCTGGCCCGCCGACAATTACATCCCTGCCGTACGATAAAGTGGTTACCCTCTTCAAAAACTATCCCAATAGTTTGAATACTGGCCACAGGATATCATATCTAACATTTGAGAAACTAAAAGATCTTGATTCTTGAATTATATAAATCATATATATCCCAAATAGAAAAATATATGCAAAGCCAAATCTTGAATATATGTTATTTTATAATGAAATTGGTAAGGCATTGAAAGATGGTGGATTTTATCTGTACAATGTGGCATAAATGATGATGGAGATCATTGAATCTGAGTTGTTGGGTTCTATTTCACACCCCAACAAAATGATTATGGCCGTTAATTGGCAGGGTTGTTGGGAAATCAATCAAACATCATACGGTCGAGATAAGTGGACCCATTCTTCTAGAAAAGAAAATGGTACACATTAAATGTATAAATCTTGAAAATAATAATTTTTAAGGCATATGCTGGTTTGTGGATATAGATCTTTCATCTTTCTTTTGTACGGAGAAAAAAAAGAAGAGAGTTTGTAGAGCGTGGAAAATGCTAAATTAATATTTGTACATAGTACAGACTGGAACAGGTTCCATCCAGGACCACATAAATGAAGATAAATGGATTTGGTTTTCAGGAATAATCAGAACAATTGAATTTTTATTAAAAAAAATCCCCATAAAATGTAACCAGAAGTAAAATCCCAGGTCCCCCCATTTCTATCATGAGAAAGAAAAAAGATGATCACATCATCACATGCATGCTGGGCTCAGAACTCACTTTTCTTTCTCTCTGTCTCTCTCACTCAGAGAGTCGTGGAATATGATAATAAATTATGCATTACAAGAAAGTTGGTTGAAACAAAATAAAATAAAAATAAAAAAATTGGAGAGAGTGACATGGAAGCACGCGTTGCCGGTGAGGGGAGGTGCAACCGTATGGGGCGGTGGGTCCATTGGGGTTGCTGAAAAGGCTGAACCAAGGGAGGGGATGGGGCCAGGTCGGGCGGCTTGTATTACTGTTGCCATATGGTCCCACCTTGGATAGAAAATCGAAAATCAATTAATCACTTCTTACGGTACTCTTATACTGTACATTAAAGAAGAGAAGTAAGGCCAAGAAAACAAAAGAATTGTCAAAATTTTCAGGTTTTTCACTCTCGGTACTACAGAAAAGAGGGGGTACATTACAAGCTACAACTCCAACCATTTTCTTTTCTTTTCTTTTCTAAGTTTTTTCTCCTTCCCCAAAACCCCACCAATCTGTGTTACAGGATTTCAAAACATGACTCATTGAGGAATCTGATTACTGCCATTTCTGTATCCTGCATATGTCCTCCCTGGAACTTCGAGCTTACCACATATCAAAATTTAAGTCGCAATACTAAAATATCATTCAGGATTAAACAAAATTGCAATGTGTCATCAGCTGTTAGGAAAAACATAGCTAGAAACTTTAGGGTTTTTATCATTGGGTTTCAATACTACTTTTTCAAATAGAAAAAAGAGGAATCATCATTGATTCAAAGAATATAAGCATTTTGGCAAAAAAAAAAAAAAAGTGTCCATATTCTTGCATTTAATCAGTACTTAACAAACATCGATTTGATCACTTTGATGCTTACGCAGTTGACAAAATCTAGCACCAAAGTAAAAACATTTTTGCTTTCCTTTATTCTGACATTCTATTTCATGATTTGGTGACAGTGGAATTAAGCGAAAGCCATAAAGAGTCTCAAAACGTGAGAAACGGAGTGTGTCCAATGACCCCATGTCGGATACATATACATCTAACCAAAGATGTAGTGCCAAAGAAATGATCTCCAATTGGCTTGATCCCACTGCCATTTTTTCTAATTATGGATATATCTTTACAGGACAAAACTTATTGTTTTCTGATCTGATATATATAAGATCATCAGAGTCTTTTTCAATAGTTGCATCTAAACCTTATTTTACTGTTTTGAAGCACATAAATTACTCTTTCTCGAATACATAAAAGATTGTGTTAAATGATCCAAAATCTAAATATGAAAGGAAACATATCCATATTATTATATTATTTTTTATTTGAAGTTGTCAAAAATTGAATCATAATATATTAATTTTTTAATAAATTTTAATCTTTATATTTAATCTTTTTTGTATTAAACTTATATTAATCTTTGGCAAATGTTGATTTATTAAAAGGTTATTATACTAAATCAGAAATTAATTAATAGGGAGGTAAAGAGCCACCTAATCATGCATAATTTTAAAATATTATGAAAAGAAAGAGTTAAAAATTAATTAAATTAATCTCCCTTAATTTTACATTTATATAAGAGACATGACTTTGTCATGTCTTTTTTTTTTTTTTTTTTTTTTAATTAACAATGTTTCATCAGCTATTGAGAAGATCAAGAGTCACTATCATCTATCTTTGTGAAACATGAATTATTGGTTTTGCTTTCATAATCACGAGTAAGTACAAAGATAAAACTAAGTAGTATTAATCAATCAGAATTATTAGCCATTAAAATATTAGCAAAGATAATGATGAATGATAGTGGAATCTAAGAATCTAACCATTATTTTATGCTTTCCAACACTTCAATTTTTTTCCCCCTTCAGTTGGATAGAAAAGAATATTATGCAACGTAAGGCAGTGGAACAACACGCCATGCCTCCCTTTTTTTTTTCTTTTAATAATTAATTTTCCATTAACTGCAACTTCCACTTAAGGCATGTCGGGGGGCAACTTCCATATAAAAAAGCAAAAAACTATCCAAATTCTTTGAAAGAAATACCCGAACAATTAGAACTCAAGTTTTCATTTTGAAAGTCTTAAATTCAAGTTTGAAATCCTAATGCTTAAGGTAAATTTTATGAGACAAGAAAATATTACTTTTTTATTTTATGAATCAAAATTATTAGAATAAAAGAAAGGTGACAGTGGAGTTTTTGTGGTGAAATCTAGCTTGTGAAGAACAGGCAATTGAGCTAAGATATGTCTCCCATTAATGAGATATTATATTTATAGATTTAATCATATTCTGCATTTGAAGTAGTGTTTTCTTGAAACTTGGTGAGATATATACCTAACTTCCTCCACTACTGGAGCTATATATATATATATATATATATATATGTGCATGATGCAATGTTGGTTTTGTTAAGGTTCCTATAATTATTTCTGTTTCTCTATGCTTGTATACTAGATTCTCTTACTTTATTTATTTAACTATTGATTTATTTTTGTTTTATAGGCGAGGAGATTGCTGGAAACAAGTTCAAACCTCTTTCATCGAAGAAATATATCATTGATAATTGAGTTTTGTGCATTCTCGCATTTAGTTTAATGATAAATGCAGTTATTTTAAATTTAAACCGTTGAATTCGATTTTTTTTTTTTGGATTAAACATGAAATTGAAACAAAAAATTACAAACAAGACAATCGTCTTATTAATTGGGTTATTACATGCTATTTTTATTACAAATCATGCACATGTGGTGTCAATCTTTTCCAACAAGTTTGTCGCATGAATCCAGTCTCATCTAAATTGATGTATTCAAGCAACTGAGTGCATACAATTTTTATTATTATTATTTTAAAATAGGTTAAATGAGAAAGTTAAGCTCAAGATGATCACCTTTGTTTTGAGAGGTAGATATGACTGTGATCTATTAATTATAATAATATTGAATAAAAATGCAGCTGTCATCTCCAGCATAAACTCTATACTATATCTTTTTCAAGTTTTTGCATGACATGACCTAATTTTTGTCCACCAAACCTTGTAAGTAGAAAATTTTATTTATTTATTATTTATTATCATAATTTTTTTTTGCTTTTGGCCATTATATATTCGGTGGTTTCAAAAGATGTATCCAGTTTCGCTATAAAAGACTTCATTAATAAATTTGTTGCAACCAATGACTTCAAAAGGATCAAGGAAAATGAATAAAAAAATTTTCCTAGTGGTCCAAGAAAGAATCTTTGGAGGATTCATTACATTACAAAAGAAAAAAAAAATACCAATGGTAAAATATTAAATTTTTAATTTCAGTAATAAATTTCAAATACAAAAAAAAAAAAGAAGGAAAAACACAATGATAACTAGTTTGAATAAATTACTTGATAAAAAGAATGGCCAAAAAAATTACCTGAAAAAAGGAGGAAACCCTTTTTTCTTTTCACCCGCACACTCTGATCACTTTAACCAAAATTCAACAGCTTCTTCACCTAAACAAGCAAAATATACCCTTGAAAGCACCCTTATCTGGTCCACAATGGGAAAAATCTTAAAAGTTTTGCTCAAATCAAGCAAATAATAATTCTTTATGCAAGAAAAATTATAATAAAAAGGGGCATGAAACATTGAAGTGCTGTTTGCATCACAAAAAAGAATCGAACAAATGGGTATTGGATTAGCACCATGATAATGATATGGTTTGGACAGTAGCTTAATTAGCCTGAGGACAATATGGACTCTAATTTCCCATTTAATAAACTTTTATGTTTTGTTGTTTGAATAATGGGGCAGATATATGTTATCGTTTTGGATACTTTTGTCTCCAACCACTACTCTTTCATGTTCAGCTTAGCCACACATTTCTTCTTATTTAAAGTCATATGGTCGTGTCTGTTTGTGCGTGTAAGTAACATTTTGCATTTTTTTTGAGGATTTTAGATTCGATTGTAGGACCCATTTTTCTTAGAAAAAAAAGCATATATATGATTAATAAGATTAATCTTATTTTGTGAAATCCAAAAACTTTACTAAAATATATCATTTTTATATGTATATATTATAATAAATTGAAGTCGCAATCATATAAACGGGGAGAAGAGAAAATTAGAAGAAAACTACAAATGGGAATATCAAAAGAAGCATTTGGTTTGCTTTGCTAGATTTGTAACTCATTGTGCTGATCTAATGATATTTGATCATGGAAAGAAAATAAAGTCCCTCAAATCCTTGAGTGTATCACTTTTGGTTTTTTTTTTCTTTGGTCTTTAGAGATGTTTATAAGAAAAAAAAAATGAAAAAAAAGGTACTAATAGGAGATATCAAAAGTATCAAACTCAAGGTGAGGATATATATTTAATAACAATTAAGTCGATGTTAAAAGGAGCTTAAGAGACTTGAGATGGTAATCGGGCTTACTAGGTGGCTTTTTCTCTCTTTTTTTTTTTTTCAGGCCGAATTCGTAACCTTTCCCAAACTCATGATCATCCATTGTCCAAGTAGTACAAATGGGTTAGTAGCCCAAGCCTTTTAGCTATAATAAATGGTAGTATTGGGTTAGGCTGGCTGGCTAGCTTCCAAAATGAAATCAGTATCACCATCTGCATTTGGTTGCTTTCCTTGGTTGACTTTGGCAAGTTTTTTGTTTTAGTAAATCAAATTGTTTAGTTAATTTTATCCAAAATTCCAGGCTCAGGATTTTCATAGAATAGAGGATAATTGGAGAAAACCATGCATGGCTTGAAACGAAAGAGTTGATGCAAACATTTTGTTCGTGTTGAAGAACATCACATCTCTGATATCATTTATTGGGTTAAAAGTTTTCAATCCAATCATACCAATAGAAGCGAAATCAAACAATAAATCAAACATACAAGAGACAATAATTTAACGTGGTTCGGTCTAACTGACTTACATTCACGGATGAAAAAAAAGATTCACTAATTGTAGAGAATTACAAACTTACATCAAATATCAATCACTCAACAATCAATACTCATAAGACACTCTCAATCTCCTCTAGTCCTATGGAGTATTCTCAACCCAAACAAACACAAACTCAAATCTTTGTGCACCCTTCCAACATAATCAAACACATACATATGCTCCCATACACCATAACTATGTGGACCCTCTCAGTCTCCTTTAGTCTACTCACAAACAAACATACACACCCATAAGACGTAAAATCCCAATACTCTTATGGGGTGTCTATCCCACAAAACCCTATAACTCTCTTACATCTTTTTCTCATACCTAACCCTGTAAAGATTTCACCTATTTATAACAATACAAACTTGCCCATTAAAAATCTATCTCCTCTTAGAATTCTTCTTTGTAAGTTAAACTTGTCAATTAAGAATTTCTTTCATTTTAGAATTTTTCTCTTGCTAAGTTAAACTTACCTATTAAAAATTTTTTTTCTCTTGAAATTCTTTTTTTATAAGTCTTTTTGTCTATCAAATAATATCTGATAAATCTCAAATAAATCTCTAACAAATCTCAAATAAATCTCTTATAAAATTTGAATCAATATTTTCAACAGTTCGGACTTTGTTTTTAGAAGTTAAGAGGTAAAAGAAATTGAATGATGTTTTCTCCCATTGCGTAAAAATAAAATCCTGAGAGAAGAAAAAGTTGAACCTTGAGAAATCAAATGATCCCATCCTGTTTGAAACTTACTTAATTGTTTTATTGACTGGAACATTCTCTGTATCAAAAGATTCCTTCACTCCAGCAGCACATTTTGACAGCAGAGTTGAACTTTCAAATAGAAATTTGCTTAATTATCATAATAATACAACTGACAGTTAAAATTGCCTTTCAACTCATTATATCTTTCTTCCCAGCTGTCTAGTCATAGTACCTGATATTGACAGCACTTGTTAAATCACCCTACCAACCCAATAATACATTTCTAAATGAAAAATTATTGTATCTGATTGGAATTTTCCACAAAAAAATAGTTGATAGGAAACCTTGAATCAACCAGATCCACAATTAAGGTTCAGATATCAAAGTCAGCTTAATCCTCTTCTACTCATTCATCTCATCATCATTAGACTCTGTTGAAACAAAGTTTCATCTTATTTTGAAACTAAAGTATTGAACAAGTGAGTGACATAAATTAGGCCTTTAATTTAGAATATTACTCCAAAAATAACAAAGGCCAATGTCTGGATATGTCCAGTCCAAATTCAATTTCCGTTATCTACAGAGGCAAAGGTAAAAAATTAATGAAAAAGGAATCAAACAATAATTTCAAAGGAGAAAAGGAGATCAAAGTAATAATTTGATGAAATTGATCATTGCATAATAAAATAGGTAAAAAAAATTTAGAAGGGCTATGGCTCTTATCTGCCCCTCTAACTCTGTCCCCGATTATCTAATAAAAGATTTCTGGATTTATGATACTATGCCATTTTCATTAATGTTCTGATCAATTTAACTCTAGACATTAAATTGAAGTTGAAAAAAAAATATTGCATCAGTCATCTATAATTTTTTTTTTTTTTTTATCTTTTGGATTCCAACTGAGAATCTAACTTGAAACCCTCGACCTTGGATTCGACTCCAATCACCTATAAATTATAATTAAGCTGATACATCCTGTCTTTGTAACTTGCAGTTTGAGCATTTGCCTGGACAATTTTTAGCTATATATTTCTTTATTCTAGACTCTTAAACATAAGAGTTAGGCAATTTTTTTATTCATTCAATAATTAATGGATGCGTGTCTAACTTGGTTATTTTGACAAGATTATTTGCCAGCTCAAACCCCCTTTATCCTGTAGTACATAATGCATGTGATTAGTACATAATGCATGTGATACAGGAGAAAAAAATAAAATCTGCTGACCCCATTTTTTTATTATACTAGTAATAATTAACCGAATTGGCATTAATGATTCATTTTTCATAAAATCAAATATTATAAATAATGGAATATGATTAAAGGATAATATATAAAATTTCATGTGGCTGATTCTTACCAAAATGAATAAAGGCAAAGCAAGAGATAGACCATTGGAAATTCTATATGATAGTTTTAGTTATGGTGGCCTTGGACCTATTTCTGTCTTCATTCTATTATTATATATTATCTTAATTTATACCATATAATTTGTACTAACAAATTTCATGCAAAAATGTACCCCCTTTCCCTCCCTCTTTTTTACTAATATTTATATTCTGGTCTTATTTGCGGCTGACATGGTGAAAAAGAAAAAAAATTTAAAGAAGAAGAAGAGACTTTATGCCAATGCAAGTAAAGATTGTATTAATGATAATTTTAAACACAATATGATAAATATAAAAAAAAATATATGGTTTAAAATTTAAAAAAAAAACTTATGTGGATTTAACAAAAATCAAAGGATATATTTTTTATTTGACATATTTAGATGAATTATGATATAATAAGTTTTGTTATTTTATATATGTTTAACATAAAACAAATATGAGATGGGTAATTATTAGATCATGTATATTAGAAAGGTAAGTACTAACTCAAGATCCAAAATCAAAAGGATCAGTGTAAGATACTGAATTCTACTTTATTTTCTCCAAAACAGTTTGTTTTTACTCTTGTTATTTTTGGTTTATGGGATCTTAAATTTTCCATCAATTTTCAAGCAATAATGTCTAGCCCCGCATCAGAAAAGAACGTGACACCTAACAAAGGGCTGCCCTGGATAAAGATTTAAACATGTTCTAGGCCAAGGGGGAAAAGATAATCTTTTTGCAGAAAAGAAAAGAAAGGTTACGTATATGAGTAGCCAATTATGTGAGCCATCATGTTCCAATTATATTCCTTTTCTCAATCATATCCATATACAATTCATTGTAATCTCTTGGCCAGGATTAGTGTGGAATTATTATTTATTATATAACAGCCAAAACTAGGAAAAATACACCGGGCCTTTCTTTTCTTATCTTGTTGCAGCAAAAAATTAAGTAGATGAGGAGAAGAGAAAATGCCTTTGTTAAAGTTGTCTTAATTATTAGAAACATGCTTTTGTCGTTGGTGCTGTGAAGGTTTCTTGTTTGCTTGGTTCTTTGAGCATTTGTACAAATTGTAGAGTGCCATGACCATGACTTTTTTAAAACGGTGCTGATAAACAGTCCAAGCTGCAAATCTTGAAAATTTTCACCAACCTGATGTATATTTTGACTGAAGATATAATCAAACAAATATTTATCCAATAAACAAAAGCTAAAGCCATATAGATCAAGAAAAGTTCAAAATAATGAATGATACAAATGGAATAGTATGCAGAAAGTAAGAACCTTTTAGATGATTGATGAATCCAAATTTTCTCCTCATGTCACTTTCTCAAGTAGTACTTAACTATAAACTCTGCACGTTATAGCAAGGCTTGATCAATTAGTCTAATCTGATGATTGCTTAAGAATGGCATGCATGGCCCATGCATTTTTGGTGCTCCTCTTCCTTCTATAGCTCAATATTTGTTTTTGAATTTAATTCTAATATTATAACCATGATCTTAGTATCTAGTTGACTAATAGTTTCATATAATATTTTGCAATGATATGATAATCAGATCTCCAAAGCCTAATAAAATTTAAAAGAAAAAGCAAAAGTAAAAGAAAACATCTCCAAAATCAAGCGATGGTTTGTTTGCTCGGAATCATTACTATTTCTAGTCTTTGAAGCACACAGAAACTAGGCTTAACGTGCATGCTACGAATTATAGTTGCGTCCATTTTCTAGCCCCTATCCTTTCTTTTTCCCTAAGTGTTCCCACTTGGACCACGTTTTGAAGGATGCATATAGGCAACGAGGTGAGCAGTTTGAGTTTGGGAACGAGACGAAGGCGGCCATATTGACAGAGCCAAACAAAAACATCAGTGTCTCGTTGAAACTTGGCTCTCACTCTCTATTTTTAAAAGACTAGGCAGTACTCTCTCTTTGCTGTTAAAAAAGATTCTCATCCAACTGGCTTACGACCAAATAAAAAACTCTCCCAGCTATGCTTTTACCATTTCATTAACCTTCCCAATCCTTCCTCTCTATATAACTCTTTACATCCTCTCTTCTTTTTGGGGTATACTGCTATAGCCATTACTCTGTTTTTGATCAAATGGGTCAGTTCATTAATCTTGTAATTGTGCTGTCACTTTCTCTTAGTTTCTGTTTGCTTCCTGACACAACATCGGCTCAACTAAGACAAAATTACTACGCTAAAACTTGCCCCAATGTAGAAAACATTGTTAGAGCTGCAGTCAATAAGAAATTCAGCCAAACTTTTGTCACAGTTCCTGCAACCATCCGTCTCTTCTTCCATGATTGTTTTGTCCAGGTTTGCACAATTTGAAGAACATCCTTTTGTCCATGTTGGTTCAATTTATTAACCTTTCATGTTGAAATGAATTCTTGTTTCTAATCTTTGTGTTCTTTTGGGTTTCCGTTACAGGGTTGTGATGCTTCGATTATAATTGCATCCTCCGGTGGCAACACAGCAGAAAAGGATCATCCTGATAACCTGTCATTAGCCGGAGATGGATTTGACACCGTCATTAAAGCCAAAGAAGCAGTTGATGCAGTTCCAAGCTGCAAAAACAAGGTCTCTTGTGCTGATATTTTGGCCATGGCAACCCGGGATGTTATTGCTCTGGTTTGTTCCCTTTCACCCCACTTTTTCTTTTCTTTGATATAACCATTCTTTAATCCTAAACATGGTACAGATAGGTATATTCAATCTACAGAAGAAATGGCTTGTCATATTGCTAATAAGATTTGGTAAATGTTTGATAATGCAGGCTGGTGGACCTTCTTATGCTGTTGAATTGGGCAGATTGGATGGATTAAGCTCCAAAGCATCTAGTGTAAATGGAAAGCTGCCTCAACCATCTTTCAACTTGAATCGGCTCAATTCTCTGTTTGCAGCAAATGGACTCACCCAAACGGACATGATTGCTCTTTCAGGTATTACGTCCCTGACTAAACTCTCCAATCACAGCCTGACAACATTTCTATCAGGGCCCTCTGACAGGGCACTATGCCCCTTGTGAATGGATCTAATTTATGTTACATCTTATATTAGCTGGCATTAGTAACCGAGATTATAAAAACAATAAAATAAGATTATAATTTTTCAATACTACTACTTATTAAAAGAGGGTATTTTTACTACTTGTAATTACTATCTGATTGTGGAGGTGAATGCAGCATTCCAACATAAGCATGGGATTTTTTATATTAAAAACTAGGCATTGATTCTGGGTTTTCTAAATATTTTGTAGCGGCACACACCGTTGGATTCTCTCATTGCAGCAAGTTTTCCAAGAGAATATACAGTTTCAGCAAGCAAAATGCAGTGGACCCAACACTTAACAAGGCCTACGCTACCCAACTTCAACAAATGTGTCCCAGGAATGTGAACCCCTTGATAGCCATCAACATGGACCCAAACACACCCAGGAAATTTGACAACGTCTACTACAAAAACCTGCAGCAAGGCAAGGGTCTGTTCACCTCAGACCAGGTTCTATTCACGGACCCAAGGTCTAAGCCTACTGTAAACGCCTGGGCCACCAGCTCACAGGCTTTTAACAAAGCCTTTATTACTGCCATTACTAAGCTGGGCCGTGTAGGTGTCAAGACTGGGAAGAACGGGAACATCCGCAAAAATTGTGCTGCCTTTAACTGAGAAAAGTTTCTCAGAGGTTCTCTTGAAGCTGAACTTTTGCTAGACAAATTGTCAGGTTTTGAGACATGTTTTGTTAGTTTCTGGGGAGATTTCTTGGTGTTGTAACAAGTTGTAGAAGGTTTTTTTTTTTTTTTATTACAATTACATGGGAAAGGAGGATTGGATTGGATCATAAAAGTCAAATAAATAACTGTGACAGGGTGACAGCAAACCTTGTTTGACCTTGTATTGGATGTAATAATAAATGTTCAGTTCTGATGTCACTATCAACTTTTCCTGACTCTTTGGGGGTGGAAATTAAGCCTTTCGTGCGAATGAAGCCTAGCAAGAAGAGGAAAAAGGCAAATGGCAAGCTAATTGTATTGTGTTATAGGAAGCCAATCCATCTCCTCTCCCTTTATCTTCAAATGGATCTCTTTTGAGTTGTTCTGCGAAGGACAGTAGCCTTTAACCAAATAAAGGTTGCGAAATATTGAATGAATAAAATTTGTAGAACTAGTAATGATTGAACTCAATGAAAACCTTGTTGACAACCTCATCGGGGTTCAAGAATAGATGAAAAACGTTTTTTTTATACTCTACACTTTTGTCATTACCATTTGTCTCTTCTGGGATAAAACTTCATTGATTTGATTTCGTCATTACTCATTACCATAAATTAATAAATTTGACCTTTAAATTATCCTATTAAATTTTGTAACATTAAGAAAGACGGAAGTATAAGATCAAACAGCATTACTCTTTATATCGACTGGTATCTTTGCACATTTAACTGTCCTAATATATAGGGCTGCATGAAAGGCTCATCATTGATTCAGTTCCAAGGAAATATGCCAGGGGAGTTGACTAATTCATATTGCCTTCTCCCTTATCGACCCATTTAGCAGGTCTGAACCCTATTTCAGATGCCTGTGACAAGTGCTTGGCTTCAAGTTGCAACCGTTTAAAATTTGTCATTCTACTATTTTACTACTAGATAATGTTCCTTGCATTCCTTCTCTTCCTTGGTCCTTCCCCTTTTTGTAGTCCCAAACCACACAATCGAGGGACCTCATGTGGAATTATTTATGCACGAAAAATGGATGTTATTCGGAATTGCTTTACGGTTGAGAATAAAAGAAAGACTTGGAGACTTGAGAGTAGACAGGGTATCCGATACAAAATTTTGCTTGTCTCTGCACTAAAAAGTAGCAATTTCCGCTGGGGACTACAAGTCATTTTCTAGCATGTCCATGTCCATGTTATTGCTGGTCTCTCTCAATTGTCATGCATTGGCCAAGTTCATTACTTAATCAGCACGACTTTTGAGTCTCTGAATGAACCAGAACCGTCAATACACAAGTCCTAAGACATCATCATTTGTCCATCTTCTCTTGGTTTTACGATCCCCACACCACATTTGTGTACAAGAATGTCCAGGCAGATTTTTAATCAGCTTCTCGTCAATATCCAGTTACGTAATGTTTTTGTCTTGACAGCGCACTGACAATCACTGGTGTTGACAGCTACCGTAACACACAATGATAATGCAGAATATAAAACACATGGAAATGGCCCAAATTTCAAGACTTTTCTTGAAGGACCATTTATGATCCAAACAAGTTACCTACCTACTATTACAAGAAAAATGCATCAATGGTGAGCTTGTCTAATCATCGATCAACGTCAGTTTGAATCGATAATTTGATCTTCCAGCTCACTGCAAGTGTTCATTAAGTTGTCGTTTTATGTTATATGTATTAAATAGATAATTAGATTGATATGATGCAATGTCACATAACTTTCGATCATTCAACAGTTGCTTCACTTTCTTTTTCAGCATTAGCATTAAACAGACAATAATTGGTCAATATTTCTCCATATCTGATCCCATGCATCTAAAGATTACTCCCCAAAACTCCCGCAGGTTCAGTATGAAACTACCCAAAGGTGCAAGAGTGGGGTTAAGGGAGTGACATAAATTCCTTTATATGTCAATCCTCTCTGTGTTTCAGCAGAATTATCATCCAAATCAAGGGTTTTCAATGGCATCCTAATTGACGAAATATTCTATTTCTAGATTGGACATTTCCAAACATCACGAAGCCTTTTATGCATAGGTTCATTTGAAATGAACTGATTCATTTAATATCCAAGTAACGAATGCCAAGTATTCAATGAACAGAAGATGTTTACTAATCAATCTCAATCAAAAGATGTCATAAGAAAAATGATAATGCAAGAAAACCAACAAGATTCTTGATCTTAAGAAGCTTTCACACTAAAAGACGTGATAATGTCTCCCTCGTAACAGAAATAGTGCCCTCAGATTACTCATTACAATGGCGTGACAGGCAACATAATTTCCAGAATTTCCAGCGCATGCCTTTCTCCAGTTGTACGACACTTGAAATAAGTTTTTTTTTTCCATTAATAATGTTCTGAAATAAAAAGTAAGATGGTCAAACTCACTAGAAATTAAGCTTGATCCATAAATCACAGTCCATTATCCAAACAGAGCAAGCCAGATCTTATTGTCATGTTGATGTAAATCAAATAGCATGGAAGATTCTTAAATGAGAAAAACAAACATGCAAGAATCGATATATTCAAACCACTGTTTCTTGCACTTTCCATTATGGGAAAGTAGTATTGGGCACAGAATGAAGACCAGCTGCATGATAAACTATCTGCTATCAAGAAATTGCTGTGAAACCAGCCAAAAAAGTTAATCTGCAAGGTTAGGCTCGGTGATCTAGCACTTCACTCAAAACAAAGTTCTACAAGACACAGAAAGGCACCCATACCTTGTCATCACTGAGGACATTAGCGGAGTCTCTAAGAAGAATGAGGGACAGGGCACACCTTCAACCAGAGGTCCTCCAGCAAATTTCAGGTTTCTTTATAAACTCGAAAACGTTGTCTTAACATCCATTTCACTCCGAGAAAAAAGGTAAGAGACTATGGCTCCATTTTGTCAAACTGAAGTCAGCAGTTTCATAATAGTTTGTATTAAAAACAAGTTGAACCATTTTATGTTTACACTAGAAACGAATCCACCTCAAATAATGCCATGGAACATTAGTCATTCTCAAATTCTATAGCAAGTCACCTTCATGATACTGAGAAATAATATTGTCATTTGTCACCGTATTTGTGAACTGTATAACAAATATGCACTGGTAGTAGCTTTTTCGATCTGATAGATAAACAATGCCTCTTAGATGCATGCAGTGGTAGTGACTTCACATGCCATCTAATCCAAGATAAGATAAAGCAAACAATGAGGAAAATATAACAAGTGCAAAGCTAGAAATGAAATGCATGAATGAATCATAGCCCATAGGAACAAGTACCATTAGACCACAATGATTGAGATATCAGCCTCAAGTTCATCCTTAACCATCTGCTTCTTCCTTCTACATGTGCAAGATTATAAAATAAATGGCTTCTATAAAACCATGTCCTCTATTATTTGGTCCATGTTCCCAAACAAATCCAACTAAAATAGACAGAAAAGAAAAAAGGTTTAAATTCTGCCCTGACGTGCCATACAAAGGAAAACAGACTTTTGCAATTATATGATTGAAAACAGTTGCAGATAAAGGGGCAAGGAGAAGGAAATAAGATAAGTGAAAGGCATCCAATCTCATATAAGGATATGCAGCACCATTCAAAAGAATGATTCTTGGTCTCGATATAGAAGGAATGGAATAATTTTATTGCCATGTCGTACCCCAAAGCCACTACAGTAAATTAGTTTATGGCGGCAAGACAGTAAACAAACACAAAGAAGAGTAAATCAATAGAAGAAATAATTGACTGTATCAGATAGAAAAAGAATAGTAGATGATCAAAGCTCACATGACAAATTCAAGAAAAGCAAGCCCAAAAACTCAAAGATCCACTTTATTATTATGAAAATAAGTGTTCAAAAACAACGGCAAACTATATATATCAGGTGGAGATAGTTGCTAGCCTATTTGTAACAGGTAGATTCTTAAAAAGTGTCAAAATAGTTGTATTTCACCATGTTAAGACGTCACACCTCCAGGACAAATTAGAGCCATGACCTGTATACAATATAATCGCTTGATCCAAAACTCCTGTAGCCCTTATACTTATTTACTTCATCTGTTCATCTGTTCTATAAAAATGGTATGATCAAATTCAATGTTAGAGTGGACTTTATAATTGAAATTACTCAAAATTGCTCTGGCCGCAACCTGGTCCAACTCAAATCAATGGGCCAATCAGTTCCAGTTCACTCTTCCGAAGCAAGCAGGCAGACCTTCTCAAGTTGCGTTGGCCAGTCTACTCCAAGAATCAGGGGATTTAGCTCCATCGCAACTCGAAAGTCTAACATTGATGCAGAAATGGACCCACTTGGTTTTTGTGCATACCTCGCAGGCCGCCTCCCATTCAAAGAGGCCATGGACCAATTATGACCTTTGTCAATAAATTTCTGTCCAGACCTCGAACCAGCCAGTTCCAAACAGGGTTTTATCAATCTCTTCATGAAAACATCAAGGCTATTGTTCAACAAATTGGCACAATCCACTGACATATTTAATCCCTCCAGCTCCAACTTCTGTTCCAACCTCTTCCTCAAAGAACTGCTATCAGGTAGTTCACCTCTGCAATGACATGTCTCAGAAGAAACAGATGCCAATCCATTCCATGGTACTTTTCGTATACCCTTAGCATTAAAAAAGATGCCAAGTGGAGCTCTAACAGGACTCCTACAGTGAATGCTTGGACTTCCTGCAGCTTGATCAACCTCTTCTCCATCCTCCACAGAGCCAGGAGGTCTGCTACCTAAAGAAAGCAACTCAGTAGCACTCTGCTGCTCTTGAACTTTAGGAATTGCATCATCACAAGCAGTAATATGGCTCTTCCCATGAGGCCCTAGAGGACTTAGGCGGTCCCTAAACTTGCGATCACGAAGATTTGGAGTCCTGCCCTTACGAGGGGATTGAGGAAAGTCTTTGCACAGTGATTGAAGATTACTTCTTTGATACCCATTTGCCACTTTAACACTTAAAGAACCTCCCAATTTGTTCTCTCTTGATGGAGGAATCTTTGAAAGTGAAGCATTTCTGATAATTGATCTAAGGAGATGATTATGAAGACGAACATTTTCTCTCCCGATTATACCAATGCAGAGCCGATCAAACTCAGGTTTGCCAATCTTAAGACTTAAAAATCTAGTAAGCAGATTGAAGTACTTCTGCGCTTTTATACGCCCAATCTTCCTTTCAATCTGAGATTTCAGCTCTAAAGTATCTACTCGAGAAAAATGCCGACCACCCGGCATTTCAGTTTCCAAGTTCCTCACTATCATCCAAAATCTAAAATTTCAGCCAAAAAGAAAAAAAAAGCCATCAATATCCAGATAAAAATCAACTTAATTCTCAATCAAAATTACCAAAAACCATAATGCCGGTAATTAACATAACAAGTCAACAGGGTGATCAAAGTCAAACAGTTTCTACTGAAATCACTCAAAGTCACTAAAATTCAAACAAATGAACAAAACCCGGATAGAAAAACCGTACCAAACAATCATTTAACTTCATGTAACTAATAAATCAATAAAAAAAAAAACCAAAAATCAAAGAGAAACGCAGACCCATAAATCTACAAAATTTAAACCTACCATTCTCAAATTAAAAAAAAAACACACACACACACACACACAACTTAAAATAAAACATGAACTAAATTCATAGACTAAAAATTCCAGCTTCATTCAAAAAACCCAATAAAACAAAAAACCCAGACAGTAAAACAGTAAAAAAAAAAAAGAAACAGAATAGACTAAAATAGAAAGAAAGCAAAACCCACCTTAATTAACGAACTATGTTACTGAATTCAGTTGAGTTGAATCCGAAACTAGAGAAAGTAAAGAGAAAAGAGATTAGGGCAAGAAGCAAACAGGACCCTTTTTTTTGGAAGCTTCTTTTGGAGTGATCAAGGTCAAAGAAACACGTGCGTTTTTTAACACAAGTGTAAACTGGTGAGCTGGTTTCGGTTCGTGTTTGGGTTTTGCATTGGGTTCGTCCAATCAACGTTTGAGTTCTTGCATACTTCAGATTATTTTTTGGTTTCAGTCTTACCGCCCACCAAAATCGTGTACCTCCAAAAAAGTGTTCCAAATTTTATGCTTTTTCCAGGACAAAAAAAAAAGAGAAAAAAAATTAGTAATGGAGTAAGGGTACTATTTGGTCAGAGGAAAACATGAACCATAAAGTCAAAGATGACATGCGGCTGTCTGTGGGTGGGATATGTATCATAGAACAAATTTATATTCCTTTTACTTCATATCTGAACTTAGTATTTAGTTTTGATTTTGTATAAAATTTAAAAAGTTTAAAGTTATTGTGTTGACTTCTGCAAATTATTAATTTTTTAGAATTGATAAGAAAATAAATTGTATAATAATAGTTTAAAATTTAATTAATTAATTTAAATTTAAAACTTAATTTATTTAATTTATATAATTATAAATAAAATTTAAAATTTAAATCTGACATTTACAATTATTTTTTTATTTTTAGATTGAGATCTTTTTTATATAAAAAATAAGAAATTAGATATTATTAGTTATATAGTTATAAATTAATATTTTAATAATATTTTATCATTATCTATTAAAATGTATCCAATAAATAGAAGTTAATTTACTGTATAATACATTTTTATTCCATACATTACAATATTAGGATACAAACTTATATTATACATGAAGGGATCTAGTACTGTAATGATCTTTGTTTTTCTGCATCCAACAAATGGGCATTTGGACATACAATGGACTGCTCCACGTACCTATCAGGAAGCATAGCCCTAATGTGTTTAGAACTTTAAAATTGGCTAGAAAAGAACATGATTAGGGATCATCATCAAACAAAATGCTTAATGAGACAGTGTTTTACTCTATATTCTTTATGATGCGCCTTTGTTTGGTGTCTGTGGATGCTGTCTACGAGGTTTCGTATCATCTCTCAGTGAAAAATATAGTCTATCTGGGTTAAGGGAGTAACAATCCCATATCTAATAATCAAGACTTGGATCACAATTTTATAAGTAAAAGTTACCCTTTCCATACCAAGACATCTATTTTCAAAAATAAAATTGTTAGGGCAAGCTTTCAATTCCACTAAGATTGCGCACTAATCAAGAGTGTGAATGACTTTATAAGTAAGAGTCATTTTTTTTTTCTGAGTATCTTTACATCAACAGTGTCACAAGTCAAGTAACACTAACTCAATTGATAAATTTATATAAAATTCGATTATAATAATATTAATAAATAAAAAATTAAGAAAATATAAATCATTTTAATTTTTCTTATAAAAACACATTTTTCTAATAAAAAACTACTCACTTAAAAAAAAAAAAAAAAAGACTACCACAATTTTAATCACCTAACTTCTTTTCTTCCTTTAAAACATAGTGGCCAAATTTAATTTCTCATAACTTTCCCGAGGGTACGATTAAAGAGGTAATAAAGAAAGATGGGCCAGCCCAATAAACCTTTGTTTTCAAGCTGCTTGGAGATTGTATCCCGACAAATCGTAAAAGTCTTTTAGCCCTGTTTGTTAGTAATCCTCTATTACACATGCATATGTTGGAGTAGCTTTTGACTGGAGAATCGTGTTGTCCTTTACGTGGTCACAAATAATTTTTTTGTACATATATATATATATATATATGTATGTATGAATGTAGACAAGATTGCAAGAACACGCATGCCAAATTTTTATGCAAGACTTTGCTCCACGTCTTCAACAATAAAGTGATTTCCTTTTAATTGAATCGACATTATTGTTCAAATATGCCGATACAAAATGTTTCCAAAGATATTAAGTATTTGATTTCAATTTACTTAAAATTTTATTTTATGTTTATTAATCTTTCATTGGAAATTAGCTCATGTATTTCTCTAGAACGCAAGCTGATCATGAAATATATAAATGAAGAAGAAATCATTAATAAAAATTTTATGTTCTAATTAATGAAATATTGAGCATCTGTCTACTGCTTTAAATTAAGAAGTGTGTTTCATATGATTTTATAAGGAGAAATTTTAAGGGGGAAGAAGCTAATTATCTAACCAATTCATTGTTACAAATTGGTTAAGGAACAATGGCACCAATTCCTTTTTTTAGTCTTTCGGGTTTCTGAGTAAGAATTCAAAACCTTCAACATTAAAGCATATCCCAGTATCACTAAGCTAATAGGTTATTGATAAGTAACAACGCCATTAATATATATTATATACAATATTCACAATTTGAATGTGTTTCCAGACCAAGCTATCCTTGTTCGTTGACCATAAATATCTAGACTCTATACTATGTCCTATTATAATCAGTAGAGTTTTTCTTCAAATACAACGTACTAAGTAAGGTGTAGAGAATGCATCTTGAAACATGTTAAGAAAAGGAAAATTTGTGACTATTAGGTATACTATGATTGTTTTAAACATAATTCTTTTTATATTTGAAAATATCAAATTTTAAATTATGATTATTGAAATTAAAAGTTTAACATTTTAATAATAAATCACGCGATTATCGACGAAATTATGATCACGATAATAACCGAATGTTTTGGAAGATTGAAAATAGAACAACTAGCTAGTTAAAGGGTGCTGCCATTGTACAGAAGCTATCGACACTTTTTCTCATCAGGCAAGCACACAATTCGGTGTTGGCAAAACAGTTGCTTATATGATGTTTTATGGTTGTGGCAGGGAATAGTGCTGATGTTAAAATTAAGGTTATTATGAGAAAGAAATCATACATAAGAATATCTATATATATATATAACAAATTAAAAATTTGACAAGAACCCTCAACACGAATATTAGCTCCCACACACTCTTAAAAGAAAGGCTAGTAGTCAAATGATAGCAAAAATTAGAATAAAATTAGAGACTAATACAAGAAAAAATTGATTAGATTACAGGATTCTGATGAGAAAGTGAAAAAGGATTCAAGCAGGCACCCAAGCAGTAGCAAATACAACATTATGTCCCTTCCAAGTAAGTACAAGATCATCTTCTTCTTTCTTTAATCCCCATCCAGCTGCATGCTCATCAAGCATAGTTTTCACTTCTGAAACTGCGTCTTCACCAAAACTAAGCTCCCGAAAGTTGGCGTTTCGCATCCGCTGCACCCACCGGCTCTTAGGTTCAAGCCTCTCTACCCTCTGCAGACCTTCATGAGCTACAACATTCTCTATCTTCCAACAAATATTAGCTTCATACCACTGCCTTTGCTTGCTGCCTTGCGGAAGAAACGTATCCACTGTGTCGTATGGTATCCACAGATAATTGAAAGCAGATCTTAATCTACATACCAAATTATTTGATGTCAAATCTGCATCCTCATCTACAAGAACAACAACTGTTGGGTCTAATCCGCGAAGCGCCTTAAGAAACATGGTTCGAAGAGATTGAGAAGAAGATGGTTCGAAAGAGTAAGGGTTTGAATTTGTATTAGAAAGAGGAGACAAAGTTTCTTCGGGTATATAGTGAAGCATCATGTGACAGTTTATAACTAGAGCCTCACCACTTTCTGCATATACTAAATGTTGAACTCGAACCTGCTCGATCAAAGAGGAGAATCCATCAGCATAACTTGAAGCAACCACTCTGAATTCCAACATTACATTGCGTGACCTAGCGAAGTTAACCAATTTGGACCCTAACTCTTCATAAGAAAGATCAAGCACTGGGGGAACATCTTCAGTGGCACCACCAGCAACTGTGAGTTTCACTAATGGGGGTCCCTCGAGCCTATTAGCTATGGCATCAATTAAAGTAGGGATTTGCATGCAGTGTGTCAAGCTTAAATCAACTATGTGAATGACTGAATACCCTTCAACAGCTTCTAATATTGCTGCATTTGCTGCAGTGAAACCGAACCGATGCCACGGGGTTAAGTCCACAAAGCTAGCCAGCTCGATGACAGAGAAAGTGTGGATATCTATAGAAAGGTTGCAACGAGCATTTGCCATTGCTGCAAGCATTTTGCAAGTGCCACTTTTGGCTGCTCGGACAATAAGGGCTCGAAGAAAAGCACATGTTAAGCGCTGGTTAGAGTCACCATCTGGTGGTGCAATGTTGTTTAGAACCCAAAGAATTTGCTGCGCTAGAGTGGCATCATTGCTTTCTATTGCGTTGGCACAATGGACTAAAAGTTGTTCCATACAATTGGCATCACCAAAGCTACCTAAACCCTTTGAGGTAGGGAATCCAGGCCATGGACGACCCCGCTGAATTTGGTTTTTGTTCATTGTGGGAATTGAAAATGGAGTGATTTGGTGCAAGGGTTGTGGTGTTGTTTCAGTTAATTGCATCATGGAGAGGGAAAGAGAGAGAGAGAGAGAGAGGAACAATAAAAGTAGGAAAAAATAAGAATCAGAAATCAGCAGAAGAGAGCAGAAAGATAGAAAAAGACCAGACTAACAGTGGGTACCTTGTCATTGGGAAACGATCCACACAGTAATGGTGAAAGAGCGAAACAAACCCACCATGTTTATAGTACAGTTTGGGAGAATTCTGCAAAGAATCACAGAAAATTGACACTTCAGCTTTTGAGGATTTTATTTTCTTCCAACAAAGGAAAACTAAAAGGGACTGCTCAAAGAGGAGTGTTTAAACTCTAATCCCAAAAAAACTTGGTTGAAGTCAAATTCCGCAAAAGAGACCCTTCTTGCAACAAAGATCAGCCTTTTCAGTTGCAAAAGATATGTGATACAATGAGGCAACAGAAAAACACTGCTACAAAACAACCTTTTTCTTGGCTACAAAAGGGTCTAATCTCCCCTATTCTGAAATCCCTTTTCTTCTCAACTGCTATAACCAAAGAAAAAGATCAGATGGACAAAGAGGAAAAAAGAGAGACTGTGTGAGAGGTAATGTAAAGGAAAGGGAAGAGGTAAAGGGTGGGCTGCTGCTTCCGTTGGATTTTGGTGGCATGTGACGATAGCCGGCCAGGGGATCGTCTATTTGTGGGAGTTGGGATTTTGTCATGTAATGAGGCAGTGGGGATTGTAAGGCAGTTAAGCTTTGGCTCACTCGCTCACGGGCCATATGACA